CGAGAAAAGGAAAGGGGTGGTTGCCTAGGCGAGTCGACTGATAAGCATTTGCACCGGCAGCCGCTTGCCGCCCGAGCACGGCGCAACATGACACGTGCGACAGCCCATTATCAACTGCGCATGAAGTTTCCTGTCGGGAAAAGCGTCGTTGTCGTTGCTACAGCTATCGTGTTTGCTACCTCATTTGTTGATTTAAAAGCTTTACGGCTTTATGACGCGAGTTTTCTCCCTTGCTGTTAGTGCGCGCGCGGTCTTATATATGAACTTGGCGGGCTTTTGTCGTTCTTGTTCTCCCGGCCGTGAACGCAAACTTCGTATCACGCGCGCTGCTCTTTGCTCAGTGAGTGACTGCGATCCTTTCGACGCCCGATTTTCATCCCTAGGACAAACTTCCCGCGAATGGCAGGCTAGGCCAAATCAGCGTTGGTTGCGTTTTGGTAGCCATTTAAGTTGTCGTTTGATACGGAATCAACGGAAATTTTTGCGGTGGCTGCACTTGAAGGGAACGGACACATATCGTTAATAAAACGAGAGTTGAACGCGCAGCACTCTTATGGTGGTTCGTGATTCGATTGCGATGTCTTAAAAGTCGGGTGTGCGCCCGTAAAACCGAACGATCTGTGACTTTCAGCGCGTCAAATTTCGGACGTGATTCAATTGGCATAGTTGCGTATACGTCAGATAATTTGATCTTTCGCTTTCATTTCGTTGGCAACGCGGGTCTTTGGACTTTAATTTTTTTTAGTTTACCACTCGAAATTTATATGTTTGTAGCACCACGTGCGCATCGTATACTTCGATTCTCTGACACGCGAGGCTGCATGCTCAACACGTGTTGAGCAACTGCGACCGTCGAAAAAGGTTGTTAAGGTTTTAGTGCGGATATTCACGACGTACCGTGATGCGTTATAAGCAGTCTATACTTCTAATATGCATGCATGTCATGTATGTCGGGACCTACGTGCCACTCGCATGGTGAGCTCATGGCCATTTCGCTCGCCTAATATGCACCAAAATTAGTGTTGTGGGATGTGATTGTATAACAATCATGTATGACAGGTGGCAACAGAAAAATAATGACATGTCCTGTTTGTAATGAAATGCTCATGGCGTGCTCGCTATCATTTCATTTGCAATATGTAAAAAATCGTTGTGCCTGCATTTACAATATGTTAGAGACCTAAAGCATTGTTTTGCCTGCCTATTTGGGGCACCTGGAATGCACTTTTTTAATGCCTTAAAATCCAGCTTCTAAGGATGACTTCCGCTACAAAATGCCGGGAACTGAACAGCCATGAAATATACACTTTAATTGGTACTGCGTCTTGTGACTGTATGACAACGTAAAAATAATTGCATGTTATACATGGCATGATATACATGACACGCTCACAGTGGGTTTGCAGTCATTCCGCCCACTTGATATATGTCAAAATTGGTATTGTGCAACGTGTGTATATGACCAGCATTACACGAGAGGTAGTGACATGAAAATATTGACATGCATGTCATGTGTGCCATGAATTACATGTATGTTGCTCCTTGCTGGCTGCTTCACATTACATCGAGCTTTCTACTGCATGGAATCTGTCAGTTTTTTTGTTTTCTTCGCATAGGTACAGGCTGCACATCTTCACTAGAAGTAAGTTATTTGCATTTATGTAAAAAGGCATTTTGCCTGTATTTACAATATGTTGGAGACCTAAATACAATATGTTGGAGGCCTGCCTATTTCTGGCACATAAAATGTGCTTTTTTTTTATGCCTGAAAATCGTCCTGCCACGGTGGTCTAGTGGCTAAGGTATTCGGCCGCTTACTCACAGGTCGCGGGATCGAATCCAGGCTGTGGCGGCTGCATTTTCGATAGAGGCGGTAATGTTGTAGGCTCGTGTGCTCAGGTTTGGGTGCACGTTAAAGAACCCCAGGCGGTCGAAATTTCCGGAGTCCTCCACTACGGCGTCTCTAATAATCATACGGTGGTTTTAGAACGTTAAACCTCACATATCATCATCAATGCCTGAAAATCCAGCCTTTAATAATGACTTCAGGTACAAAATGCCGAGAATGGAGTTCACACTTTTATTTTCTTAAATTTTTTTCTTGAATTACAACAAGAAAGGTATAGCAATACCTAACGAAAAGCCTCTGTACCGGTTGCACAAAAATAGTAAACATCTAATATACGAAAAATTGTTCGTAGCATACACTTTTTTGTGTTAGTGCAGATTGAAAAAGACTGACAAAAACACAGTTCACAATACCTAGGGATTAAACAAAAAAGGTCTCTTGTGCAGAAGTAAAAAAGAAATTTAAGGATAACATACCTGCTACTACATTTCAATAAATACAATGTTCGTATCCGAAATAAATAAAAAATGAATAAAAATGTTTTAGACAAGTTCATCTAAACATTGTATGACATGTCATTATGCAGAAACAAAAAAATGCATATTTCTACACACAATAGTAGCATGTATTTTAGTTTGACAACCTGAAAGTGAGTGCAATATTTATTAATACCCTTCTTTGTTGTTTTTTAAAAAGGTTTGGACTGACAATGAAGTCCTAATCTCCTTCCAAATGGGTAAAAAGAGACATGGTTTGATATTTCATTGTTTGCTTACCTTAATTTATTCGTGTTATTGGCATGTGTGCTTTTGTGCTCTAAAGCAGTACGTTGATTCATTTTTGTTGTTATTGATATATTATTTTTCACGATGTACTAATTGAAGTAACTTGAAATAGAATATTTGATCAGCCCTTAGCATATCATGCTTTATAAATAATGGTTATGTTCTTAAATCCTGTGGGTTACCACTGTATTGCTCAAAGTAGCATAGTAAATGTTTTTGTAGTACTACGAATGTATTATAGTTGCCTTGTATTGTCATCCCCCATACTATATTTATGTAGCATGATTTCGAGTAAAGAGAGCATAATACATTGCTTTCATCAGCCTCACAGGGATGAAAGCAGCAGCTCTGTGTAAACATCCCACAGATTTTGCCAATTCCACTGCTAGGCTATTGATATGTGCATTCCAGGATAGGTGCTTTTCAAATATTACACCAAGAAATTTTAGCGTTGCGACTATTTTGGTATACTCCCCTTCAAATGCAATGCTCAACTCATTATTTATCATTTTATACACTGGGTAAAATATGTCGTACACAGTTTTTTTTTCGCTTAGCTGCATCCGATTTTCTCTTAGCTAGCATGATAAAGATGATAAATAATTGTTACCTTTTGGCTCGAGTTGTTTTAGCTCTTTCCATTCAAAGAATATGGTTGTGTTGTTTGCAAACATAAATATTTCAGGGGAATCACGGCTTTTTACTAGATCATTTGCAATAAGCAAGAAAAAAATAGGGCCTAGAATTGACCCCTGCAGGACACCTTGCATTGTCATTAGTTTGGAAGAAGTATTGTTATTTGCCTTGACTACTTGAAAATGATTTTTCAAGTAACTGTCAGCCAGGTTTAACTCCGTACCACATATGCCATACCTGGACAGTTTGTTAAGCAGTATGTCATGATGGATGCTGTGTAACGCCTTTTTGAAGTCCAAAAACAAAGGAAAAATATATTTTTTGTTCTCAATAGATGTTATTGTTTTATCCTTTATAAATGTGAATGCCTGCTCAGTTGATTTGTTCTTTTGTTGATGAGAGAGTGTAATTACAATAGTATGACAAGTTAACAATAAACAAAGGCAAGGAACTTGGGTGTGTTATATCATTTACAGATAACAGAGAGGGTACATTGGCTAGTATTCCGGTTGCATTGATGGTATTCTTTGAAATGCCATTGCTAGGGCTCGCAGTTCATGTGATCTCTCTCTGCCTAATCAAGTGTAAATGCACATTAGCGGTGGATTTGTGGCACCATGTTATCTCACGAGCCAATCACATACATTCCCGCACTTACAGCCTCCTCACTGCCTCACGGTTTTCACGTCATAGAACTGCCATGAATTGTTTCGTTAATGTGCATCCTAACTTGCATCCACCATCTTAACTCTCAAGAATATAGTATGATGTTATAACATGGTCAAGAATCATTAGTGTTCTTAAGCAGCCTGTAAGAGTCCAATCATTATAGCGTCGATTTCATTTCGGCACTGAAGACCAGCATGATGGCTGCCTGACCAATGCCTTTTGAAAGGCTGAATGCCCCTTCTCCCTTTGCCTCTGTCATCCAAACAGTGCATACTGTAATGAGCGTGAAGTGGAGACACTTAGTGGAGTCTTGGATTCTTGGCTGTCCCTATGTGGGACTAGCCAGGAGGTGCAGGGTCTCTCCTGCGGCTACTCTCTGGACCTAAACAAATAATGTTCTGTAGGTCTCAGCCCTACACAATACCACTTTGACTGTAACCAGGTCTTGTGTGTGCAAATGTGCCCGCATGTGGGTGTGTTTTCCTTTTCATTTTTTTTCTTAAATCACATTCCTGTCTCATTCAAGGACATGCTTGGGGATCATCTGCAACTTTTTTTTTCTGTAATTTCAGTTCAAAGTATTGAAACAATAACATTCAATTCAACTCGCTCTCGAGCTATTTATTAGAATTCTCTTCATACCAAGTAATCTTGCTACTCTCACTGCCCTAACAATGGGGGATAATCCTTATTATGCATGTACATATCTGCCATATGATTAAGAAGTCACATAGGGTGTCATAAAGGAAATCTCAAGGAATATTTGTTGATAAAGAGAGTCTCTAGAAACTCAATAAAATGATTGTATATAGATATGTTTACATCTAAGGCTTATTCTTAGGTCATTGTGTGTCTAGTTGTGTGTTGCTAAACGTTTTAAGACATGTAAAGGCAAATGAGAAGTTAGTTACTGGACTGAATGGTTGTTTTATGTGTTGCTGTTGATTTGCCGTCTCTCCATTGTATATTTTTTTTAGCAGTGTCACCTTGGGTTTAGTAGAAAGAAAACAGTGTGGCAGCATTTTTGTAACATACGCAAAATTAATTCTTGCACATTTCAGGTCTCTTTACGACAACAGCATACAGTCTCTGGCCAATGGGTCATTCGCTCCTCTGAATAACATTCAAACACTGTAAGTATTGACACCGCTTCCTGTTGAAATTGCTACAAAACTTGTTCATGTGGGTGAGGTTGTGTTGGGTTACTACCAATTTAGAAGGCACTTCATGCATACGGGATAGAGCATACATGCTAAACAAACTTTTGCAACTTCTTTTATCATTCAATAAATCACTCCTTTTGGCTAGGTAGTTGGTACAAGCTTGATATATGTTGCGGAATATTGCACTGCATAGCTGTACCAAGGGGGACACTCACAAAGGCACAGAAAAAACACACACAGCCAGAACAGCTATTGCGCCCACCTGTTCTGGTTGTGTGTGTGCGTGTTTTTTCTTTGCCTTCGTGAGTGTCCTTCCTGTTACAGCTATGCAGCGCAATATTCCGCAACATATATCACATTTGATTGCCCTTCACTTGAAAGAACAACGAATTCAAAATCACTCAAGGGGTGATTCATGAAATTTGCACTCATATCTTCTTAAAACAACCTGGTCAATATTATTGTATAGTCCTTCATTGCAGCTTGCCTTATAATGCCTACACTTTGACGTTGAACAATGTTGAGGATGACCTGCTGTACTGCTGGCCTGCCCAGCTGGCAGTATTCTACAAAACTACGCGCCCCAACTCCTATACCAGGCTTCGCCGCTAAAGGGGCACTCAAGTTACTTCACCCGAGGTCTGTGGAAAGGTGTAATGGTTTTGGCGGACTCAATAGTTGGCATGAGGTCATAGGGGCAGTCAGGAATGGATGTGAATCAAAGAACTGTGGGGCACTTTGTGCTGAGCGCTCACGGGAAGATGACAAATGAAACTGTAAATGACGATATGGGACGGGCAAGTTTTAAGCTGAGGGAAGCTCAAAGCAAACTAAGGTTCAAAAAATGTTAAGGATAGTGAAAGAGATTAAGATGGGCAGGGAAGGTGTTCAATTATTTGTGCAGAAATGTCGTTGACATGTAGTGTAGAAAAAGCACTGGGGGCTCACTGGTAAATACATATATACGGCTGTGAGCGATATGGAAACAAACAGCATTGAGCGAAAAGTCCGAGAGGCAGAGCGGATTTACAGAATGGCAGTGATGGAGAAAGAACCAGTTCTGAGAAACTACCAAAAGGGCAGAAATTATGTAAGGAGAAAGGCATTTTTTTCATTCGAAGAGAAGCGAAGTACTCTCTGAAGTGAGATTGGGTTGTCTTAAGACGCGTGGTTATAAAGCAAAATTTAGTAAAGCAGAAGGACAATGCACATGCTGTGATGATGATAAGAAAATGACATAGCATGTTCTGATGGAATGAAGAGATATCCACCCAGGTGTATGTTTGGATACGGGCCTGCATGAGTTAAGCCTTAGTTTTTAGGAACAAGAATTGAAAGCTGTATGAGCCAGCAATAGAAATTATGCACAGTTAGAGTATTGGTGTCAGAAAACTAGAGAGAAAGCACAAAATTAAATAGTGGGGAAAATAAGCTTGGACATTCCTCCAGAACAGGCAGAATGCTGGGCTTTGAACTACTGCAATGATTTCAATGGTGAGAACTTTCATCTGGCACTTTAGATACCATTTGTGAGTCTTTTCACAAAAGTATCAATTGTCAAAAAATGCATGCATGGTGCTCACTTCTTTTTTTTTGTTAAGCAAGTCAAAATGGCCTAGAACTGTCGAACACAATGAAGAAACATCGAACAAAAGCAAATGTAGGAATGCATCTCTAGTTAGTTGTACGACACGTACGTATATTTTTATAATCTATGTATGGACACAATTGCATGTCTGCGATAAACAACTAATTACAATAGCGTAACCTTTTACAAAAATCAGCTTGATCCTTCTCTCAAGCACACTTGTTAATGGCAACTACAGTGCCATATTTTGCTTATTTTACTATATTGCTGGGCTTTTGCTTAGTTTTTCTTCATTTTACAGAGTGAATACCCATGCAAATATCTTGACTCGGGGCGAGCAGACAACCGCAGAGGTGCTGCTTAGTTGGTGTAACCAGTAGCGCCAAAGTTGGGATGAAACAGCCCTTGATGTCAGAAAAAGCCAGCATACACGTGCTAATGTTCTACTCACTGGGCAGGTCAGGAGTACAGTGGTCGTGCTCTGGAGATGTGTACCATGTCGGTATTAACCGCAGAGTTAATACATTGACTCTTGTGGAAAAGTTGGGTCGGTAAAATGCTGACCACAAGTGTGCCGACATTTCGGTACATTATCACTGATGCCATTATGTTACTTTAAAAGTGCCCTGCAACACTTTTGTTTACTGTGGTGAGAAACCAAACTGGTAGTCGAGGCTTCTGAGAACACGTGAGGCAAACGATGGCACCATTTTTGGCGCACTAGGCCAGTACAGGTTAGTGTCCCTGCTTGTGCAGCGACATAGGAGGTAACGGGCACGTGGAGGTCATGTAGAGGCAATGGTCAATGTAGATGGGCTAACTCAAGCACACACATATATATATGCTGGAAACGTCAGATGGATTAGACAAGCCTGTTTGTTTAGCTGGAAGAATGCAAAGACACAAGCTACGAGAGGACAAATTGTGGATGTGTATGGGTAAATACATAATAAATCTGCTCAATGTGCTGCTGTCATTAGGCTTATAGATGATTGTTCTCATTTTTTCTATGCTGCCCTTTTTCAGGCACTTGGCACGCAACCCATTTATTTGTGACTGTAACCTTCGCTGGCTGGCACTGTACCTGCACCAGCACCCGGTGGAGACGAGTGGAGCACGCTGTGAGGGACCAAAGCGAATGCACCGCCGTCGTCTCTCCATCTTGGGCGATACAAAGTTCAAGTGCAAAGGTATGTCCGGGATTTATCATAACACAAAATGTGTGAGGAAAGTAGGACTCCAAAGTGCTTTGAATTGCATTTGCACTTACTTGTCGTCATTGTGATTTTCTTTTCAAGCTTCCATTGTATGCAACAAGCACATTCTAGCATTTCGAGGAGCGTTATACATGTTCAGTGTGACGTGATATGGATGAATGCGAAGGAAGAAGATCGCACAAGCGAAGATACTTACTGCTTAATCTTTGTACTTGCCTTAATTATCTTGTCGTACAACTTGCACCCACTTGACCAGGAACGTTCCGGCCTGTGTTTATGACCTGGCATTCTGAGCCATCAAGCATGCTAAGCCATCAACACTGGGTAGATCGCTTGGAGTAAAATTCAGCACTACCTTACCTTACCCCTCACTTTCTCACACCCTTTTGTACTGCAAAGTTGTACTGCAGGTGCAGTACAATCTATATAGCTCGCTGTACATACAGGTTGCTAAAGACTTGGAGGAGCTGCCGTTCTTATTGAGCAGTCGTGCATGTGAGGTTCAAACTAAGGATATTTAGTTTTGATGTCTATATCTGTAGCTCAGCCAAGAGATTTTTCTCAAGGGGTATGGAGACAAGCATGACTTTTGGAATGTGCAAGTTTAGCAATGTATCAGTGTCAGAGTTCTTATTCCCCAAATGTCTTAATAAAAGGCCTTCTCTTTGTCTACATGTTACTACATGTTACATTCATTGAAATGTGTAAATTACTTTTAAGTGTTGCATTAGACATTGCATTTATTTATAAAGGAAAATTCAAAGCTGTAATAAAGACCTGCTGTGGCACGCATATGTGTAAGCATATTTCAGTCATGGCTTTTGGCATGGATGGCATCCGATGGTGGCAGGAGAATCAGTCCTGAATGATGATAATGGTGATGATAGAATGTTTTGAAGATTTCTAGCCCTGTGGTACATTGCTTTTTGTGGTTTTATGACAATATTTTTTAGGCATTCATATTTTATTCATTTATATGTATTTATTTATTTTTTCATTCATTTACTTATATGAGAATTTTTGGGTGTATGTTTAGTACAGCCAAAGCATGTGGGATTGATGCAGAACCGATTCGCATGATAACGTTTTTCTGGAATAGCTGAGTATGCTGCTTCACAGTATAGTCGTGCATATCTGGGCTCTTTTTTTTTTTTGCGTGATCAGTTAAAACGGATATTTTTGGATGCTGTGAAAATGCTTCATGCTATTTTTTCTCACTTGGAGGCTTTAGGTTTTATGTAGAACTGACCCATTTTCAGTGTGCTTTTGGTGATTGGCGATTTGCACGTAAGGGAGGAAGTGTGCCACATATGTATATATTTTTGATATCTCCTATTTGAGCTCAGTGGTCGCCATTGTGTGGAAAGTTGGTGGCGTGATGCTTTGGGCAAGAGGCTACAACAAAGACAGACACAAGCTGATTTGCAGGTTCGGAAGAGCACAGGACACGCTTGGCGGGTGACTGCGTTGTGGATCGCGACTGTCCAGAGCAGTGCGTCTGTGAGGGCACTATCGTTGACTGCTCGCGCAAAGGGCTTCGTGAGATTCCTACAGACCTGCCCACCTTTACTACAGAACTGTGAGCAGTGCCACACTATTTTCTCACATTTCAGAATAAATATAGAAAAGCTTTCAGGAATGCTTTCATGAAAAACACAGAAATTATACTTTCACAAAATTTAATAACTTAGACTGCCTGGAAACTTGTATATCTATTAGTTTCTTTCAGGTTTCCAGAATCTGGAGTTGTCAGTTCATTCAGTTATTCAATCTTGCTTTGCTATCTCCTCCTGTTAAACTCAGATTTTGAAAGGACTTCCCTGTAAAAGCAGTGATCTCAGAAATAGCGAGTTGTTGGGCCAGTTCATTTAGCAGCTTGTGAAGAGGAGTTCAAAAGCAATTCAGAACAAAGTGGGTTAGACAGAGAAGGCACTCACTTCTTATTATAGAAATGCTTAGAGCACATTAATATTGTCATGTCATGATAACAAAACTTAATGTAGTGAAGCTTGGAGGGAAATTGGGGGTGACACTTAATACTTTAGCTACTAAGAGAGATTCTTTAATTCTTTAGTGTCTTTCTTGTCCTGTCTACTTTCTTCCAAGTTGTTTTTGCATTTCCTTCATAAGAAGTGAACTTGGGTCTTTCGCTTAAGTTGCTTTCTTGACATAGAAGGTGTTGTAGTCTTCTGTTTGGCTTTAGTAATGTCCTTATGCCAGCTTGGAGTGTGAACACCTGCATTAAGCGTGAGCCACTTTTATACCTTGAGAAGATAGTGCTTTTGCCACTATCTCTTCCTATTTTTTTAGTTATCTGTCCGTTATGTCTGTATGGCTTTCAGAGTGTAGCTGTTGACTAAGTGTAAGGTCCAGTTTAAGATGAATTCCACTGAGGCTACTGGTACATAAGAACAAGTGTGATGCCTTATAGCATGTACTGCATAGAAGAATTGATTCAGCTGTTCCTTTAGCTTGCACCTGTAGTTCTATTAATGTTGCATGAGTAGATTGCTAATTGTTCTATATATGCAGTGCTACTTCAAACAAGCTCTGATAATTTCCAGGGTTCAATGAAATTCCACAAATGAGTTTGAGTTACTGCATTTCTCACCTTGAGAAGAACTGCATAATTCATTCCTAACCTAGCTGGCTGTCATGGTGGTCACAGTAATGAGTCACTTTTTCTTTCAGGAGGCTCAATGACAACCACATTGTGAAGGTCCGGAATAGTGGAATTTTCAAGAAACTGCCCAATTTGAACAAACTGCAAGTATTATCTTGTGTCTCAGGAGCAACATTCAGTACAATTTGTATCTATTGACAGATTGAAATACGGTACACTTTCAAGTAAATGAAAATACTTTTTACAAAACTGCTGCTTAAATATAACAGCAGATGCCAATATGATTTCTTTTGTACTTGAATACAGCACCCCTTCTCATCTCATGGTAAATGAAAATCCTGTTTATTGGAACACACTTTTTCTTGTCCCTTCAGGTTCTGTTTAACGATTGTAGTTTGTCAGAAATTTTTTATAGTAATAGCTGTGCAAATTATGTATTTTTATTTTCACTGGGTGGTGCAAACTGTAATGCTTAGTAATGTGGCCTTGAGAGAGCGATACGCTACAGCCGGGTAGTTGAGAAAACAACATTACTTCTACCACCAAGGCATATGCAAACAAGCCTGCTCCAATGAGCAAAGGCAGATCAATTTTGTAAGCCACATGATTGGTGACGTTGCCATCATAGAACACTGCTAAGTTTCTTTAGTTGAGGTGGCAATCAGTACTTTGTTTCGAACAAATTAGAATGTGGCAGGTCACCAACCATTTGTTAGCGCCTACTCACAGTGGCTTAAAAGAATGGATATATTTTAAGTATTTCAAGTGGCAGTGCAATGCTGTTGATTCATTTGTGTTCATGTACAGTCGAATCTCAGGGCAACGAAATTGATTGGATGCGCGAAAAGGTTCGTTGTTGCAGAACTTCGTTGCATCGAAATTTCATCTATAGACAACAAAATCCAGTAAGATGCGATGATTATGACTCGTCCTTTGGTCCCAGCAAGCACATGCACTGCACTATAGCTAATTCAGACTCGCTTGGCCGCACACCAAGTGAACAAACTTTGTCGATCATGCATAACAGGCAGAAAATATATAGAAACTTTGTAGGTAAACTCGGGTGCGGGTTATTTAGTTTCTTGGCACACCTTCACAGTAATGCAAAGAAGGCGACCTTGCTTCAGTAGACACATAGGTATCTTTTTGTTCTTTCTACTGCGGTTTATGGTTGGTGGTACCGATCATAGGAGGGGTGGAATATACACGACAATATATGATATAATATAGAATATAATATAGTTATAATTTAGAATATACTACCTCAAAGCGTGCCAAAGCCCTTCCAAAGGCCAACTGAAAGTCAAGTTTCAAAGCTCCTTGCTATGGGGAATGACAGCTGGGAAAGCCATAATGCTTCGTGTCGTTTTATGGCTTTACAGCCTTTAATCATGGGCTATGTTAGTTACATACCTTTGAAGCGTATTCGCTATTAATGATTGCGATGATAGCGACAGCGACAAAACTGCAGTTTGCCGTAGCCGCTGCGCAAGAAAGCGCAGCGGCTGCGACAAACTGTATTTCTTTTTTCAATGTGTGTGCATGCCTTCAGAAGTGCGTCGTTGCTATCTGTGATCGTGTCTACCGCATATACTGTAGAAGTAGCACTGCTTTGAGTAGGTGCACATTGGATGTGTGCGTACTTTCGTGCTGCCCATGTGTGTGCCTTCATAACGCCATAGTAGTGACAGCGAGCAGTAGTTTTGGTTTCAGCGCTATGGTAAAAACATGGCAGCAGTTCTTTAATGATTCTACAGCGAGGCACTGGTGGATCGAACCCACCAGCAGTATCATGGCAGGCATATGGACGATTGGTCGCTGAGCATCGCAATAATTAAAAATTTACTGGGATATGCGCGTGGTTGCAGAGAGTGTGTCTGTGATGAGGACACGTAAGGGTATTGTGATTTGGCCACAGAACTCTGGAAGTCACGAGCCAACAAGACATTGTCGAGTTGCTCACGAAATTTTGCGGTAATTCAGACAAGTTTGTTTTCCTTATGTGGTAGCACTCCCGTAAACTTCGTTAAAGTGGAAGTATCCAGGAAAAGTATTTGTTGTGATGAGACATTTTTTGCATTGTGTTGGAAGGGCTGCGGCCGGGGACTCAAAAATTATTTGTTGTGCAAGCAATTTCATTGCAGTAGACTTCGTTATAGGGGGATTTGACTGTATGTAAATTCTCTGTGAACTCTGCTTTTCTGAGGAAGTGCTTCTATATACGTAGTGCCTCATCATAAGCTGCTGCCATGTTTTCCAGCTATCACTTGATAAGCAGTGCAAGGTAGGTTAATTGGAGACACAGGTGGAACCTTTCCCTTCTAGCATTTCATTATAGCTCTGTGAGTTTAGCCCAGCTGAAACTCTGACCACATCTGCATGCTTTTTGACACACAGCTGGCATGGAGATAGAGCAGGCAATGCTATTCATTCTCAAGGAAAGGAAAGAAAAGGAAGTTGGTATAAATAAGTAGGGCATCTGATTTTCATGTTCATAAAATGTTGCTGGTTCTTGCGCCTGTCATACTTGCGTTGCCAGTAATGTAAACTTGACGTCAAACAGGATCGAAAAAACTTGCAGGCTCCCCTATGCAATTGCCGGCAACAACTCAAAGGCTTGTTTTTATTCTCAGTCAAAGTATTCAGCTGTTCCCCCAACACTTTCTTAAGAAGGCAGACTGGTCTTTGGGACCAAAAAGTGACAAAAATATTCATTTTTTAAAATTGACATATTTGGTTTCTGAAAGTATTTTTCTATCTCTGTGCAAATTTTTCACGCACCAAAAAGTGGTAATTTTTTTGTAATGTCATTCTAACTGTCCAGATTTTTGGTACCGTTAACATGTAGAACCTGCAAAAAAATGGGAAACCGACTTCGAGGCTTCTTTACAATTGGCCGGCACCTGTGTTAGAAGCTTTATGAGGATTGCAAAAATATGGGCACCATGATTGCTGCTTTTTGAGGAAGCTGTGTGTATTTTAGTTTTTTTTTTCATTTTTCTCAAAAAAGTAAATTTACGACTGTTCTATTTTGAGGCCTCAATATCTCTGCAGCTAGGGCAGGTACAACAATAATACTTTTTGCAATAGAAGCCTTTTTGTGTGTAGAATGCAAGTATTGGAGCAGAATGTAGAGAACAAGCATTTAATTATTTACTCATCAAAATTGTAGAACAATTTCAACTGCTTTTGAAAATAGTTTATTTTGCTGTAAAATAACCAAGAATGGCCTAAAAACAAAAAACTCTTGCATAATTTCACTCTATAGTCATTAGTCTATGTTGGCATATCCTAAATATCACTTTTTAATTAAGCACCTTTTTTTTTATGGTGGTCTTAAAGAATAGGGGGTGAACTTAAGTTAGCTCAGGAACAAGATGAGTTATAGGAAAACTAATTAAATATTTGAAATCAGCTGAAAAAACTGCATAATCCTGTGCAGTTTGATCAAGATCACTGAAGAAATAAACAAGCAATGTCTAAGACCAGTCTGCCCTCTTAAAGCTTTCCACAACTCACTTGTTTTTCCATTGCCTCCATGATCGGCCAACCTTTGACCAAGTGACAATATTATGTGATGAAGTCACAAATTTTGATGATCTTTGTCATCATGATAATGTCATCAGATCATGTAATGACAATATTATGCATCACTCATATTGTTGGCACCAAAGCCACTGGTCAGTTTTTGCGTTTTATGAGGTAGACTTTTGGATTAATATTAACAGTACAGAATAATTTGACATTAAAGAGCTCCTGTTTGGCGGTGGCCTCCTCCTTTGCAAGACTTGCACCCAAGGTGCAAAAGTGTCAAATAGGCAGCTTTGAGTGTCAAATAGGCAATTAGTGTGTGTCAACGTAAGGCACGAAGGACAATGTTCGCTATTGAAACAGGGGATAGATGATAAAAACTCACTTTATGGTTATGTACACGACAGCTGTGTTGAAAGAAAACTTCACCTTCATTGTTGATCGAACGGTGCACTAGGGAAATAGGGGATATGCCCAAAAAGGGGTTGAGGGGTTCAATGCCACTTTCTCCTGAAAGTGGAAAAGCAAGTGTCCTCCTTGCCCTTTCTTCCACCTTCTCCAGTAAATATGCCTCTGGAGGGGTGAGTGTGTCTTCGCATGGTAAGCCACAGTTGGTCAGGACTACACTGCTTCAGAGCACATACGTGCACTCCATGCCAGCCATACTTCATCTTTCACTTAGTCATTGCACGACCTTCAAACACAGCACCAAAATGACTGGCAGCCTCTGTTTTTGGGTTGCCATCTGACTGTTCCACCACCACCTAAAGAGAAGTGTCTTGTTTGTAACATCTAATGTTGTGCTTTGCTAGATCTGCGTTTTGTATGGGTTCTTTAAAGAGAGCCATAATTATTTGAGAAATGGAACGAAGTAACTTGGAGTTTTTTTATTAATATTAGATAGGCTTTTTTCATGATAATTATAGAGCCGACAGACCCCTAAAAAAGCAAGAAAATTAAAATCAAACTGTAGGTTTCATGTGAGTACTACTTGTTTAGGCTCATATGCAAACGGACATTCTTGGACAGCCTGACAGTGTTGGACTTTCGTGACCTTGGTAGCATGACAAGGGTGGACTTCTTGCCATGTTGTTGAGACATATTCTTGCAGTAATCAGCGCAGGAATGCAGAAACTTTCAACGACGGGGACATTAAGAGACATAGACAAGTGCTTGTGCATGTCCCATCTTGTCCCCATCTTTGTAAGTTTCCGCATTTAACACAGTAAGAATATGACAACATGGTTAACTTAGCAAGATATATAGTGGTCATACCTCAGCTTTAATGCACATTCTTTGGCACATGTACATAGGTATTTGACTAAAAGTTTCGCTTTTATTTTTTTATTTTTTATGCAGTGACTTGCGCAACAATGCCATCTCTGAAATTGAAGACAATGCGTTTCTCGGTGCTGAACAACTGGTAGACTTGTAAGTTCAGTTCAATTTCTGCAATGTGCTGCATCAAATGTATGTCATGTGCATTCTTTTAAGAAGGCTGTTCTATGCATGATGCAGAGCGAACTAATGTGCCACTTTTAAGTGAGTAGCACTTTAGGGGCTCGGCTTGTCGGGAGATCTTGTTCGGCATGACGAAACTCACAATCAGGTCTAAAACAAGGCTAGCAATACTCAGTATTGGTTAAATAAATGAGCAAGGTAAAAAGTGATATAACTATAATCGTCAATAAATTAATGGCATTAATTTGCTTAAAATTGCAAAAGATGCTTGGGAATCATGGGGATGACACCTGAGCCACGCACGAGGGTGTCACCGCTTCGTCGAGCAAATGAATGTTCTTCCGACTAGCGCTTCGCTGACACTTCGTCGCTACATCTGAAGGGGGAAGCAAAATGACAGAACTCGCTGCAGACAACGCATATTTCAGCTGCTGTAACAAGCAAGAACTTGATAAAGTGCAGCAAAAAGTATTGTGGGTGTCGCACACAGAGTTTGCGAATCTCTTCAACAAAATTCTACTTGTGTTTGGGAAACTGGACATGCTTACCCAAAACACTGCCGCCATCGCAGTTTGGTAAATGGGGCAGTGGTAACTCTAAGAACCAGGATCTCTGGGGGCCCGTGCTATGCGCTTCCTCAGGTTTCACACTAGTGCAACTGCATTTAGTGGAGGACTCAAAGCTGCCCTGATCGCTACACAAGTTTTTTTTATATGAGCTTCCATTTGCCACACAAGGGAGAAACCAGTTCTTGGTGGCACAAGCTACAGCACTGACCAAGTTTGCTCTCACTCAAGTAGTGGTCCGGATTGTGGCCACTTCAAGCTCTGGTAAAAGGCCATAGTCCTTTGATACTTTCTATTGGTCACGAAACGTCGGGCCAAGTTTGGTATAGGGACAAAATTTCCCGCCAAGGGTGCCACTCTAGACAAGGGGGCTTTTATCTCAGCCACTTAAGAGGGATGTTTTTGGTTTGTTATAAGGTTTTCGGGGGGGGGGTTCATATTTTGGTCTTTCATTGCTTATAAGCAGTGTGCTTTCATGCAGTGGCCATAAACGTCTGTTTGGTTGTGGCACTTGGCTCGTGGAGAAATCGGTGTGCAGCCTTGTGCTATACGATGATTTAGAAAACATTGTCAGGCTATGCTTCTTTGACAATTTTAATTTCTTCGAGGCTGTAGCTGAGATCAGTGGCAGAAACGAAAGCAACGCTGCCAGTACGTAGCCGTACGTATAATCGGAGATGGGCGTTTGTCTGGCCTTTTCTCCGAGAAACATACTGACGCGCGCAAATTACATGATGATGCTTTTTCGTGATGATGTATCTACGCTTTGAAAAAATACTCAGTCTGAGCTCTTCAGAATATATATATAGATGAGTTAAAAGCCCCATTTGAGTATGTATGCCATGGCACGAACGCTCGGCTTAGGAAATATGATTAAAAAAAATTGTAGATTGCCCGTGTGTCGCTGGGTTCTCTGTCTCGGGCAGACTGCATGTACAAAGCTATGAAGCGAATATGACAAGAATATTATAAATAGTATCTGCACACAAGCAAAAACCCGGATATTAGTAGCTAAGGTGTGCTGCGAAACATGCCTTGTCACAGTGCTCACATTTTGAAGGTGATGAAGTGCAAAAACACATGTACTAAGGTTTGAAGAGCTACATGTGGTAGTTTTTCTATTTTTTCTTTTTTGTGAAGTGCCCAAGGGCCCTCGCACACTGAAATGTGCCAAGTGATTATTTAATGTATTTTCCTAGCTATGCTATACAACAAACCCTTTCAGTTGGACAAAAGTCAAACACAAGTGTCTAAAGTGGCAGGTTGATCTAGGAAGTATTGAAACCTTTTAGCACCTTAATAAAAACCAGAAGGCTTCATATATTTCAATTGTAAACAACTCATTTCAACCTGTAAGAATTTTATTTTCAAAACAGACTGAAAAAGGCATATGCAGCTACAGAAGTATAAATAAATAGATATGATTACAACCTGACGAAATGCATCACAAACAGCAAATAATTTTTCCCAGTGGAATCATCTGATGACTCCTGAAGAAGCTTGATTTGCTGCTTGCGTGGCAAGCGCCAAGAAGCCGACCCCGACAAGCATCCCATCAGGCCATCAAACAATTGAGGAATTGTGTCTGCCCTCAGCTTTGCTCTTTCACATGGCAACTTGACACACTTGTTTTTACGAGTTATGCGCTTCTTATCAAAATTCCTTTGGTATATGTGAACGTTCGGTGAGATAAACTAGAATTTACCTGGTTCTTGAAATGGTATTGCTTGTTTTCACCGCTCTCATTTTTGGTGTCAGTGGGAAATGCAAACAACTCATTTTGACAGTTTCTCTGCAGCCAGAGTTTGTCTTGGCGTCGTTTGTCAAGCTGCTGCTAAATAATCGTTGCGTTCAGAAAGGGTAAAAGGCACACAGCTCTGCGCACTTGCAATAAAACACGACAATAACTGACTAAAACCAACACATCAGGCCATCACCTCACTGGCTTTGACGAGGGCCTCTGTGGGGACACAATTCGCGCATAATTTTGCACAGCCTTCACTTTGCAATGAGGCAGCCCGGCATGACACGATGGCACACTGCACTGTATTTGTATATGCCGCAGCACCACCGCAGTGTCAGCCATGGCCTACATCACCAGCGGTAGCTACAAAACCAGGCCGCTAAGCTTGGAAGCACACCATTTTGTTCAACTACCTCTGTCGAGCAAAGCATCAGAATACTCTCCTTATGCTTCTACTGTAGTTGAATAAATGTTTGTTACATTGTTATGTTCATATGCGTCCTTATGTTGACTCGGCATCCCACATCTGCTGATCCAGAAACCAAACAAATCGCACCTCCGTGACTGACTCGGAAGCCCTTACGACTGTGTGCCAGCAAGTGCAACTTAAATAGCAACTGCAGGCCCGGCAACAGGTGCTTCAGGATTAGCGTGTGCCCACTAAACTGCATTTGCTCAATGACTTTGCACCACCTCGCTCGGCCACATCCCCCAAAGCATTTTTCTGGCAGTCACTGTCAACACAGGCCCCGCTGCTGCCATGGCTGATGCCGACCTGGACGCCAGGCGGGCACCTGTCAAACTTCTGCCAATTTGGGCGGACTCGCCCAAAATCTCGTTCGCCCCAATCGAGGCTCAGTTCTCTCTTGCGCACATCACGCAAGACCGGACCGAGTACAACTATGTAATTGTCTACCTGGACGCCCTCTATGCTAACGAGGTCCGGGACATCCTTGCCCATCCACCAAAGGCTAATCTATATAAATACCCCAAGACGAAACTAATCCACTGTCTGTCACCCTTGGAAGACTGGAAGGTGTGAGAACTTATTCAGTCTGCAGAACTAGCCGCACACAAATCATCGCAGCTCCTCCGCCACATGAGTACCCTCGCAAGCAACGTGGAAATTCACGATTCTTTCCGGCAAACACTTTGGCTCCAGCAACTTCCAGCGCATGCTCAAACGTACCTGCAGGCTGAGCTAAAGCTACCCCTTGACCAACTTGCCGAGATCTCCAATTGTGTCATCGATGCCTCTTTGCCGCAGTCATCACCCACCATCTAGGCTGTCACTGCACCACTGAAAACCACAGAGCTCACAAACCACATCCATGACATTGAGAGACGGCTCAGCTTCATTAAATGACACCTCGATCAACACCCAAAAATGCGCCTACGCTTCCACTCTCCAAGCCGCAACCGTAACGCCGCCTCGTTACAACAGCCCTGTGCACACGGCCAGTGTTACTACCATCGATGTTTCGGAGACAGAGCCCAACAATGTCGACCACCCTGCTGTTCTCTGCATGAGATGAAATGCCAACTGCAGCTTGTAAGCACAACTGCGAGCTGCTAACCTGGAGGCCGTCACATCTTCGTCACTGACAAAGTCACAAAGTGGTGGTTTCTTGTTCGAAGCAGTTCCGACATATGCTGCTACCCACGAGCCTATCTTCAAGGTCCTCTCCTGTCAACATCTTTTGAGCTCAGCGCAGCGAACCAGTCTACAGTCAAGACATACGGCTTGCTGCACCTGCACATCCAGCTCAAGAACCTATGCCGGGACCTTCATTAGAATTTTGTCATCGATGTCGTCGCTGAACCAATAATCGTCTGAGATTTTTTTGCACATTAAAACCTCCATTCAGACTGCCGCTATGGTCATCTTGATGTGACGAGATACTTTTCGCCAGGCCAGCAAATGTCCACCCACCAACCAAGGGTCTAAAGTGCTCAGTGTTGAAAATCATTTGCCGTGCCGCTCCATCCTCACCGAATTTCCCGGTTTGACGCATTTTTCAGTTTCTCTTCATGAGCTTTGGCCCAACGAATGCAAAACAAACCTTTCAGCGCTTCATCGATGAAGTCATTCGTGGCCTCGACTTCTGCTTCGTCTATCTTGACGATATACTGGTCTTTTCATGTGACGCTGATGAACACCACGGGCACTTTCGTCTGTTGCTCCAATGCCTCGATGACTGCAACCTACTTGTCAATGTCCTGAAAGGCATGCTCGACGCTTCCACCATCCATCTCGTCGGTCATGAAGTTTCGTCAGAGAGAACTCCATCCTTGCCTGAATGCATCTCTGACTTGCAGAAGTACTCTCAACTTACCACCGCTATAAAGCTTCGCTATTTCTTCGGCATACTACCAGGCGCCCCTTTATGACGCCTTGGTTGATCTCTGAAAAACCAACCTGTCGTATGGGCACAGACTTTCGTGCAAATTTTAATGAATGCAAGACTGCTCTCCTCACACCACGCTCCTCTCCCTTCCCGTGTCTGACACCTCCTTGGAGTATTCATGGACGCTTCTGGTTTTGCCATAGGGGTTGCCCTCATGCAACACATAGACAACACCAGGCACCCCTTGGAATAATTTTAAAGGAAACTCTCAGCTCGTAAGGCGACCCCTTCAATGGATAGTTCCACCGACGACACCAAGACTGCTGCCCCGACGAGTTTGTCAGCTTACGACAGAGAACTTCTGGTGACATAAGAAGCAGTTCAACACTTCCGACATGTTCTTGAAGCACAGTAGTGCTCCGAGAACATTTATACCTATCACAAATCTCGTACCTACACCTTCTCTAAATGTTGTGACATACTCTTGCCAGTTCAGCAGAACTGGCTCTCATTCAATGCTCAGTCTATCACCGACATTGAACATGTTAGCAGGAAAGACAGTGTGGTCGCCAATGCCATTTTACGTGTGGCAGCTATCAGTTCTTCGCAAATAACAACCGATGTCCACGCCGAGGCTCAAACTACAGACGCTGGACTGCAGGAACTTCTCAAGGATGGGTCCTCACTACAGTGCAACAAATCCCCATACCTGGGTTGACAAGAACTATTGACTGTGACATATCGACAGAAGGAAGCAGGCCCTTCATACCCTTGGCCCACCGCCATAGTGTTTTCAACCAGCTCCACAACCTTAGCTATCCCAGCATACGTGCCTCTACATGCATCGTGGATGACCGCCATGTCTGGCCCTCCATGAAGCGGGACTGTCAAACCTGGGAACACTCTTGCATTCAATGCCAATGCGCTAAAGTCACCAGGCAAGCACATCACCTCACCACTCAGAGCTTTCCCTCGGCCTTCTCATCGGTTTTTGCACACGCGTTCACCTCAATATCATAGGACCTTCCCCTCAGCGGGATCATGTAGGTACTGCATCACTGCCATCGATCGGTATACTTGATGGCCCAATCAACGTGGCCCCTCAAGAAAATCACCGCTTAAATGTTATGTCGGCCTTCTTCACTAGCTGGATTGCCCGTTTCGGCGCCCCCTGCCGCCTAACCACAGCCAAGGACGACATTTCGAGTCTCACCTTTTCAGGCTCCCCGAGTTGACCATTGGTTTTGAGCACTTGAGGACCACCAGTTACCACCCCTGCACTAATGGAATGATTGAGCGCTTTAACTGACAGTTCAAAGCAGCCATTTTGTGCCACCCAGACTCCACCTGGCTCGATGCCATCCCAGTCGTCATCCTAGGTCATCACACCACCTTCAAGCCGGATGTTCAGGCTACACCCGCAGAGCTTTTGTACGGGGAACCCCTCTGCCTCCTAGGTGAATTTTTCACTGTGCTGCCTACCAACACTGCGACGGCAGACCCCACCGACTTTGTCGCCCGGCTTCGCTGCACTATCGCTGCTAATTGCCAGTCACCTGCAGCTCACCATTGTAAACCCACACCTTTCATCTTCAAGAAGCTAGCAATGTGAAACCATGCTTTGTTCTGCGATGACACCATCCGCAGGCCTTTTCAGTCATCGTACTGTGGACCTTACCTGGTTGTCCATTTCGACGACAAAAACTTCATCCTGCGCAAACACGGGATTGAAGTTTGTGTTTCGATTGACCGGCTGAAGCTGTCGTTCATCACTTCTGACAAACCAGGCAACACCAGTACACCTACAGGCACTTATTTTCAAACCTTGACATCACAGCCTGCTACTGTCACTACACACTCTTGTTACCGTGTGCGACGAACAAACTTTTACAAGCCGTGATGGCCCTCCACACAGTGAGGGGGGGGAAGGGGGTGATGTGGTGAAACAATCTGCGCGCAATTCCGCGCAGCCTCTACCCTGCTATCAGGCAGCCCGACGTGACACGACCACTCGCTGCACTGCAATCCAATGTGTTGCAGTGCCACCGCAACATCACCCATGGCCTACGTCACCAGCGGCGGTTACAAAAGCAGGCTGCCAAGCTTAGTAGCGCATAATTTTGTTTCACTACCTCTGTCGAGCGTAGCGTCAGAAAGCTCTCCTGATGTTGCTACTGTAGTTTAATAAATGCTCATTACATTGTTATATTGAGATGTGTCCTTACATCGACTTGGCATCCGACACTTCCTTAGCCAGAGTGACAATTCAGCACACAGCATGTTTTTGGAATCGTTTGCCGAGCTCTAGCTCACTATTCGGCACGTTTGAAAATGGTAACAGGCACCGATAGCATCATACACAGGTGATAAAGCACAACGCCGACATAGCCAACCCACCATGCTGTTGTCTCGCTGGCCTCGACGAGTGCCTCCTTAGCTGGAGCGACTGTACAACACATACAGCATCTTTTTCGCATCGTTTGTCAAGCTACCGCTAAGTATACGTTGCATTCGAAAATGGTAACAGCCACATATAGTGCCATACACTCGCAATAAAACACAATGACGACAGACAACACACGCCATGCTGTTGCCTTTCTGGCGACGATGAGTGCACCCTTAGCACAGGTGGCGCCGTGCCACAGTGAATGTTGGCAGCCCAGAAAGCTCTCTCATATAGTAGTGAGGGAGAAGTTTCGTGACCAGTAACAAATATTGAGGGGTTATGGCAAGAGCGAGACGTTTGAGATACAGATTCGAGGTGCATTTTAGCTGTGCAAGTGAAGGAAGAATGGGTTAAAGCAATGACTAAAGGAGATACCTTTAGAATTAGTAGAATTCAAGATGATTAGTTTGTAATCGCATTAAATTGCACTAATAATAGTGTATGCAGTCTTTGTTTTCACTATGACTGTCTGGTTTGACAGATTAGAAATGTTCCTTTTAATTATACAATTGCCAACAAATACATATGAGCATTAGAAGGTACACACAGATACTGTTTGTCAAAAAGAGAAACAGTGAGTTGGTTTAGATTGACAAACTTCACTCCAAGAACTCAAATGCCATATGTATCACTTTCATAAGTTTGTTATTAGTGAAGAAAATCAAGGTTGAAGTTTTACTTTTAAGTTTTGTGCCGAAATCTCTGCATGTGACATCGAAAATTTCAAAATTCATTTTTGGTATTTTTATGACATCAGCTTGATTAAATTCTCTGAAACTCCATATGCTAGGTCTATGGCACCCACAGATGACAATGTACTCATTTTTATTGCTTAGAATCTGCGTAGGGCCCAGTAGATGCTTTCAAAATCTATGATGTCATGGTGTTTTGTGCGGAAGCTCATGTTAGAGTCATCATCCACATTATGGTAAGACTGGTGTTTTTGGTATTGTGAAACTGAACTTTACGTATACTCAAAAAATTGTTTCACTCTTTTGTGTCCCTTTAATGTAACTATAGGAACCAAGTAAAGAATCTTGGAGTATACCAAATGATAGTCGACATTGGTGTAAAAAGAGGGTTAGATGGTAATATTAATTGAAAAGATTAGACAAGAATTGCGCATCATACGCTTGTTCATGAGGGTGTGTTTCAGTGGAATAACATGAGCATTAGGCATTAGTTAAGTAATCTGTAGAAAACCTTGGGAAAGTCAAGAAAAAGGTCATCTGTATAAATATTATTAATCAGAATTAGCATGAAGGTCATGGATGAAAGTGGCTAGCTGTGTTTTGCTACAAGAACTTCTTTGAAATCCATGCTGAGAGGAATTAAAGAAATTGTCATAGTTAAGATGCCTAATGACATGAGTGTAAATAATGTGCTTTATGAGTCGGCAAAAATACTGGTTGTTGGTAATTTTATTGAAAGTCTTCGTTACCAAACTTCAAGTCCCATAAGTACTAAGGAGGTGCTAAGTTTATTATTTGTTGTATCTTAATTTTCTTTGTTACTGAGTGTTTTTTTGTCATATTCTCCAGTGATGAATAGGAGTAAATGTAAAGCAAGTGTTTATAACAATATGGTCCCTGATTTTTTCAAGGTAGCTAATAGTATAGATAGGCTATCAGGATTCCTGGTCAATATCTGGGGTCCAACATATTAGAATTAACATGTGTCACTTGAGTTGGATATGTTATGGTGCTACAGTATTAAACAGGTATCAAGGAAGACTGAGGAAGTTGTTTAGTTGACAACATTATTTTTTCTCAATCAATGCATGAAAGATTAAAATTGCCATAATGATGAATAATGTCATTTAGATGTTCATATGAGTAAAATGGATTGAGGTACTCCTTAGTTTTCACAAAAACAGTGGGTTACGATACGGTGGTCTGCAAATGGCTTTTACGACAACTTCTGGAATATCTCAGTTAAGTATCCATAAAGTTGCTGGGTTGATTCTTACGTTCATGTTGGTAAATCAATACAAAAAATGTAGACTTTTGAAGAACACAGGGCATGATGTTCTTATGTTAATGAATACAGAGTGTGTGAGTGCTCAACTGCTGCCACAATTAACCCCAAGAAGCATTTTCAACTTGCACTTTTGGCACTGTTTAATTCTTTACCATCTTTACACAGTGACACTATCAGGCCCACAGTAAGACGAGCTACATCGAGCAACATTTAGTTTTAGTTCTCTGAAATGTGTGTGTCAGCAGTAGCTGCGTTGGCTCAATAGCTTGGCTGTTGCGTTGCTTGTGGACCAGTTGCACTTTTAACTTTGCAGCCGCTTTGGCCAAATTTTGATAAAGAGGAAATGTGAAAATGCTTGTGTGCTTCAATGTACCTTAGCTTACAAGTATAGGTATCGTAAAAACTATACAGCAGTGCCCCTACTATGGCGTCTCTTATGACCCACATTGTATGTACTTGAAAAATTTTAAACTGATACTTTTAAAGTTTAGTATTATTTTCTATTTGCATAAGTGAGTGTGTTATGCTTTGTGCTACAGAATTCTACACCATTATTTTCTTAATTTATTTAAATGCATCAAATTAATATTTACAGTACTTGAACAGCATAGGACACTGATAAGGAACTAATTATATGGGCCAAGTAGTGAAGGTCATCAAGCCTGAGAATGCGCAAATTTGCCTATCAGACATCCTGAACGAAATGAGTTTTACAAATTTGCATGAATTTCTTGCATGCAGGCTTCTTACGGAGAACAAGCTGAAGCAAGTGCGTGCTAAGATGTTCTCAGGCCTAATTCGGCTGAAGACTCTGTAAGTATGTGGCAGTGTCGTTCTTGCCAGGGTAGATTCAGTAACATTCTCCTGCACATTTAATATTTACAGGATGCTGCGCAGCAACCTGCTGACGTTTATTGCCAATGACACATTTGCAGATTTGGATTCTGTACGCCTCCTGTGAGTCGGTGCTGTCTTGCACATGCATGCAGTCATATCTTCTCTATACATAGTCTAGGGTGTTCTGAAGATATGTATTGTTCATCGTGGTTAACAGCATGGCTAACACTGACGAAGGAGGGAAGGGGACATACGTCACAGTGCCTGTACCAAGCATTAGTTTATATATGTTATGCATAAAAGTGATACCGATTAAATGAAAAAAAAAGGCCATGTACAACTGCAGTATCAAATTTGTACTAACCAATGCTAAGTTTTTTCATGAGCCATATATATTCTCTGTATGCCATGCCTTTCTGTACACCACACTGTCGCGCACAAATGCTTCACACGTTGCACACATACAGCAGTCCTTCAGTGTGGCAATAAACTCTTGCAGCTTGCTGTTAAGTTGTGTGAAGGCTGTGTACAAGTTTCTTATATTGATTACCTGTTTATTTATTCTTTTTTTTTTGCAGAAAATACTAGTAAACACAGTTGCAAAAGAAATAAAGGAGGAAATAGATATTTGAAAGCAGGCATCAATAATTGCTTTGAATCAATATTGGGCAATTTTATTTATTATGCTTACCTTGAAAACAGTGCGTACTTAACCATTTTTGCGAAGCTAGAGACTCTTTTTATATACTCCTTGTACTGTTCCTAGACTAATGCATATGGCAGAGAATTCTTCCCTATTAATACATACAGTGCTGAAAAAGTAAATATTTATCATGGTGGTGCCTAGTTAGAAAAGTGAAGCTAGCTGGAGTGTGAGAGGCGTATTGATGCAGATTGGATTTGCTGGTGCAGGTCACTGTATGATAACAAGATCCGGTGCATTGCACAGGGCTCCTTCGAGCGCATGTCATCCCTGGCAACCTTGTGAGTAATGCTGCTTCACCTCTGTTTCTGCTTTTATAGACAAGAATGAGCACCCCTCTTTTTGCAGGAATTTGCTAGGGAACCCACTGCACTGTAGTTGCCACCTACGCTGGCTTTCTGAGTGGCTGCGACGCAGCAACACTGTCACCGGAAGCCCACGTTGCCACTCACCAGCACATCTCAAGGACTTGCCATTGCAAGATATCGAGCCTAAGCAGCTTGTCTGCTCAGGTGAGTTCGTACAGTGACAAACAACATTTAAAGAATCTAGTAGTTTGAGCTACACTTTCAGTTTACCTGGAGGAAAGATTTCCTAGTATTCAGTTAGTTTGCTGAACCAGAAATTTTTCCCAGCTGGAATCGTCTAGCATTTATGAGGACACTCAAAGTGAATATTCACTAATGGTGTTGCAGCTAAGGCCAAATGCCAAATAACATCCTATAACACTGTACGTGCAGCATGTTGTAGAAAAAACATTGTCTTTGTCAGCGGGGTTGGAGGAAGGCAGAGATTTTGAATGCTCAGGCAGCGGTGGGAGGAAGAGAGCTATATATTGCATATCTTTATTTCTTTTCAAGTTGTCCTGTCTTTTGATGTTTAATTATACACTGGTATTATCAACTATTCTAATAACCTAATTTACAGAGGCAAGCATGCTGTTTATGTTGGTAAAAAGAATCAATAGGCTCCCACTTTAGCACATTTTTATCTGTTTTGATGCTGTAAGTAGATTTAAGTGTTTCCTGAAGACAGAGCCATAATCATACAAGGGTTCATTCTGTGCTGTGCATTGCAATTTACTGTTGTACGTTTTCTCATACAAACCTGTACAGTAGTTTCTGTTGAGCTGATGAACATTATAAAAGTTAAAAAAAAGTGCATTTGTATTCTTCTAATATGTGCATATTTGTATTTTATGAAGATCGCAGAAATAATAATAAAATTAATAATAGTAATAATAATCGGCATGCTACTAAAAGAGGGTTGTATACTATTTTAGGTCAATATTAACAAACCAATCTTGTAGTTTTTAACCTGTTACCATTTTCGTGCGCTCATAATGCATGCAGAGAGTACAGAAACTTGAGAAAAACATAATATAAGGATAAGGTTGGTTTGTGAATAGAGGCCTTATTGCTTTCTACTGACAAGGCACAGATTAAGAAGTGAGCTGTTAATGCTGTATTTTGCCTCCTCGTTGAAAAATATCACATAATCGAGCAATGAAATCGGCTATATCATTTTCATTCATTTCACTTTCCTCCTAAGCGAGACTTTTTACCGGATATAAAGAGCACCCGCATGACGCACAAGCCTTTCTTCAATCTAAAAAACCAAGCATAAGGTGGTGCATGTGCTCCAAGTATAAGGAAGAACGAGTGCACATATTATTTGAGTGGGCAAGCAACAAAAGGCAGTCTAGTTGGTATATAACCCAGAAGTAGAAAAAACAGTGTTAACACAGGCAAAAGGAAGATGACAGCGCCTTTCCTCGTGTCTCCTTTTTTTGCCTTCTGTTCAAGATGTTTTTTCCACAAATGGCATGGCCCACTGCCTATTTCTGGCATTAGCCTGTGCCATTCATCAAGCGTATAAAAGATGATAAAAGAGACAGACCTTTCCCGGACACTGATAATATAAAAGGCAACTGCTGAAGCAATTTTCTTCTGCAAGATTTGTGTGACATAGTTTCCACCATAATAGTGGCATGAGCAGCTGGGAAAAAGGCTGATTGTCTTTATTACAGTGTGCCAGTCATGTGATTTTTAATACAATGGGCCAGTCATGTAATCAGATTCGATCATTACTAGTCTGTAAACTCATTGGCCAAGGACGTCAGAAGTTTAAGTTAGCTTCAATTTTACTATAATGGAAAAAGGGTCAAATGTTGTCATTAAATTTGTCATACTTCTTGCTGTTCAGAGGAAGACCTACATGAGGGATGCGGCTCAGATGAACTCTGTCCTCGAGGCTGCACATGTGTTGGCCATGCAGTGCACTGCTCACGACAGCGGCTACGCCAGCTGCCCAAGCACCTGCAGCCCACCACTGTTGAACTGTACGTCTTCCATCGTTTACTTAAATTTTGTATACACTACTACATCGGTAAATTGCCGTTTTCGAATACTACTAATACAAGTGTTGAGTAGATACTTAATGAACCAGAATGTGCACAAACTAGAAAATCGGTTTGGAGTTGCTGTGCTTTTACAACTTCATGAGACTTGGTGTGTACTAGGTTAGGTAATAGCTATTCGTATATGTATAATTCAAGCCCCACTCCATGCATTCTCTGAATGCCACCTCATGATTTCATTCCATGTGTTGTGAGAAGCACCATCATTGCATAAGCATTATCATCTAGGGGCTGATATTCCACATTCTTTCCAAAGTTCAAAACTGAAAGGCCTGCTAGAGAGCCACTTGTGTGAACCACTGAAATTGAGTCAAATGTTTGCTATCTAAGCGAGTATATGCACATTTATTGACGAAATGAATTCTGCGAGATTTAGCTGAGCACTTGGGTGCTTGTGTAATGTCGCCAGTGTTGTGAAGCCTTTGATCTTGAGAAACTTGGAAGGAAACGCTTCGATGATACGGAAGTGCAAGGTGGCATGATGGCAAATAGTTTGTCAGCTGAGGAGGACCATAGAAAAAGGAATTTCTAGATACTAAAATGAAGTTCATAGTCTGGTTATTCAATAGTGTACTACGCTAAGATGAATAGTAATGTCATGCACTACTTAAGTTTCTGGCATTTTAAAATGCATTTCATTGTTTCTTGTTCTTGTGATTCCAGTACAGAAAAAACAGGCTTTTTCTCTCCTTCAAGGAGTTCTGAAACTAGACATGAGCAGGGCACGTAGCACGTTGGCAGGTCGATTGCTGGTAATTAAAGATAACTGACTGGACTCATAGAAAAGGCAAATGTGTAAGGGGAAGATAAAAAATTTAGGTGGGCAGATGAAATTTAGAAGTTCCTAGGTATAAGGTGGCAGAAGAAAGCTCAGGATCGAGTTGATTGGCGAAACATGGGGAGGCCTTTGCCCTGCAGTGGGCGTAGTCATACTGGTGATAATGATGAAGCGTCCTTTGAAGATGTTAAACAATGATATCGCTATGGAACTACTTTAGCTCTTCAGTGTTTTGCCCTGAGCATTCTTCTCATCCTCCAAGTATGAGAATACGTAAAATCTCGAATATAGCTCAGTCCTGCACATAGCCTGGGGTGTAATTTGGGGATAGCAAACACGAGAAAACGTTTTCACCCGAATATAGCCAGAGTAAAATAGAAAAATGCATTTATTGACACACTTCATTCATCGTCGTCGTCGGACGTACGCACTCTCTTCCAAAGTTCTCTTGTCGTAAATGCTATCCCACAGCACATCATCCTCAGTGCCATCAAGCACGTTCGAGATTGAGCACTTTTTGAATGCGCGCCAAATGAGGGCCTAAGGAATGAAGGCCCAAGCTTTAACAATTCATGAGCACAGCACCTCTGGCGAGGCCCATTTCAGCCGTTCGGCAGGGGTCACCTGTGGTTCTCCGGACCTCATCCACTCCACATACAGCTGCTTGAAATGGTCCTTAAATGGCTTATTAAGGCACACATCAAGTGGCTGCAGCTGTGATGTCATGTCAGTTGAGCTCGTTGCAGGAATCGTGTGGTGTCGCTTTTACGGAGTTGGTCAGGTAACACCAATACCTGTCGAGCGCAAGCATCGAAGAGAGCCCCAGCAGTGCTGCGGGCTGTCTACACCACACGGACTTTATCCAGTCAAACACTAGCGATTCGTTCATCGAGCCTTTGTCCTAACAGGGGACGATGACATTTTTTGGGAACTTCTTCTCCTTTGGCAGCGTCTTTTGTTTGAACACCACGTAGGGCGCTAGCTTGGGACCATCTGCAGTGCAGGACAACATTACAGTCAACCGTGTTTTTTCATTCCCAGTCGGTCGCACAATAACTTTCTGGAGCCTTTTTGATGCACTGTCAGCGCCGATGGCTTATCCAGGTAGACCGGCGTTTGATCCCTGTTGCCGATCTGGCCCAGCTGAAAGAAAACAGACAGCCTTTCACAATGCAATTACAGTGGAATTTTGATGATACGAATTCGAAGGGAGCATGCACAATATTCTTATCATCCCGAATTCCTATGAACCAAAAACAAGTCAAGGCTGATCATGAAGATGAACAAGAACTTTACTGGAGCCAACTACTTCTTGCTGAAAAAAAAGTCCATGATGTTGTCTTGAAGTTTCCTGCTTTCACTGCCTTTCAATAAACTGCCACAGGTTCCTAACTCATGTTTCTGGCGCTACGAGGCATGTTCACACTTAGCATCGAAGGAAGCGAAAGCGGTAAAACTTATTGAAAATTCGCTCACATTGCCTCTTAGGCGGCCGAAAAAATGCGCCACGAGGTCGACAAAAAAAAAAAAGGCAGTCTAAAAAAATTCACACTCGAGAATTCAAGCGAAAACGCCAGAGCGGGCACAAAACCACGTCTGTGCCCGTCGAAAATGTTCACACTTGTTGTGCCCCTCGTGTACTGTCTTTGCCACTTAAGAATTTATTCCTGAGTATTGAAATTCCTACCATGTACTAGTTATGCATGCAAAGCACTGAAAAGAAATAGTTTACATTTTTACAAACATATTGTTTCAGGAGATACGTCAGAAGAAACGACACGAGCAGAGGCACCGGCAGCGGCGGCAACAGATTCAGCTAGTAGTGCAAAAGAGAGACACGCTAGAGCATGCCTACTTGCTGCAGCTGCACCCTCTTCTATTTCTGGTGTTCGCAGCGATCGTAATTAAACCAGGCTCTCAATGAATTAGTCTTTTTTAAGGTTGTAAGCTTTGTTGTGTTGATCAGGTAGTTCGCGATTGCGCCGATGCGAGCCACCGCCGACGCCTCTGCAGTCATGTTGATTTTACGACTGGTTGCTTAAATTGGTTCAAATCACACTATTTGACAGCTAGCACAGCTGGTGTAGCCAAAGCCATCGCAGAAAGGCAATTCGCTATCGCATGGTGGCAAAATTGGTCTCAGACCGATATTTTTGCATTGCCCTCGTGGCATGGTTTTTCGGCCACTTTTTTAGCGGCAAAGTGAGGGAAATCCCGGTGAGTTTTGCCGCATTTGCTTCTTTTGAGACCAAGCGTGAACGGGTATTCTTCCCAAAAGAAAGGCCGGTTGCGCCGCTCACGTGCAGCGGTCAAACGTGCATTTATATTATCCGTGGTTGCTGGGGAAACCGTTCATATAACACCAAATCCCAGAGTATTCTATTCAATGTAGTCCATCCAAAGCAAACTTAAAATTTGTATCATCATGAAATTCGCATCAACCATAATCGTATCATCAAGATTCTACTGTACCTATTTTAAACGTCACAAGATCCTCTTCGTAGCTTCTGCGAGATCGAAGTACGCCGACGTAGGGAGAACTCAGCATGGTGCATATAGAGAGACACCCAAGGCTTGCTCGCTTTGAAATTTCCCAGCTGAATGCCTTTGTCTCGGGCGATCTCTCTTGCCTTCACTTATAACAGCTCGATGTTAACAGCGAGATGTGCAGCTTGCTGCTCCCACACAAAGTCCACGAGTTCTCATTTCATGTCAGGAAATGCTCCATTTTTTTGGTCCGTGGAAACTTTCTTGCTGGTTGCTGCAAGCAAAGATGCCGTGCTTCTGCTTCCGCCAACTGCAAATACTCTGCTCATTGACTCCGAACTGCTGCTCCACGGCACAGTTGCCAGCGGTTATGGCAGCAGCAATAATTTCCCTATTAAAAGAAGCCAAGTACTGCCTGCGCGGTGCTGGCATAGTGCAAAATCACAGGAGCAACATCGTGGCCGTCATTATGGGCGCCAAGTTGAAGCAAAGGCCACTGACCACTGTTGCATGCGTGGGTCTTTATCAGAGAACACCTGTACCACTTTAAAGAACGAAAACTGTACCTACCAGTGCTAACATTACCTAGCACTTAGCGCAGAAGCGTGCTAACTTCTGATGATGATGATAGCACCGCGCTATGGTAAAAGCAAAACTGAAATTCAGGCGAAAACTCTTGGGGCCCGCATATAGTACGGGGCCGAAATATCATTCCCTAAAATCTAGAAAAAAAAAAACCCCGAGCTATACGCGGGCTTACACGTAGTTAGATGTATTTATCACAACTCTGCATGTCTTTCTCTCTCCTTTTATCCCATCTAGCATGCTTGAAGCTATAAATGAGTAGTAGCAAGGAGGCAAGGCATTAGCCAAAAGTTACACTGCCTCATTTATTATGGTGATGGGCATCTTATTTTTTTTTCTAACATGTAGACCATTGCTTCTTGCTCGGGCGTTCACAGCACTCTAGACACGCTTCGGCAACTTGGGCTGCCATGCATCGCCGCACACTTATTTTTCAGTGGATCACCCATGGAGACCATATAGAGCACATAGTTGTCAGCCAAAAGTGTTCGCTATGGTTTTCATTCTACAGAGTGGGAATGGCACATAACTAGAGACCAAATTATAGGCAAATGCCTAATTTTTTTCTGGTGTTCCTATCATGCCATTTTGATATATGAACATGATTTAGAGGCCAAGGATAGCTCCTATAGTGTTTTTGTTGTGCGTATAACTGCCTAAATATATATTTTTGACATTTGTGCCTAAAGTTCCATAAACACCTATAAATGCCTATATTAAAAAGTGGTGCCATTATGAACTCTATATAACCTGAAATCTTGCTTTAGAGTAGAGTTGGAGACTGGTATTCATATTACCAGGCAAAATTGAGTTTTCGGAACTTCATGGTGTGGCCACCTATACTCCATCTCATAAGCTCCATCTCAAAGGCCGATTAGCTTTTACACGTATATTCATCCACATCGCGTCATCTGTTCGGTATCTCCCCGGCGTTTGCTCGCATGTGTAGGGAACAGGAGGTGCTTCTGTGTAGCCACAGGACGATGGAGAACGAATGCGAAATCTTGGTGTGTTACCAGGGGAAAGTAGAGTGTAAAACAAACAAAAAAAGGATGCCCACGCAGTTTTTGTTTTGTTTGTCATTTACTTCTTAAACGGCGCTGCACTAGGTCACGTGAGAACTTTTACTTAGACACTAGAAGTTCTTGCGTGCTCAATAAAAAGCTTTGCACCACTAGAAATTTTGATTGGCTCATCTCAAGCCACGATAGCATGGTGCAAGGAGGTAAGCTTTAAACATTTGCCACTCGCATAGTTTAAACTTTTCAAGCCCTCTTTCCTGCCCCTTCGATATCTGAGCAACTCGGAGCCAGAAGTTCATATGACCAGATGCATCAACACGTCATGCGCATGCAAGACTACATTCGCATGACATGCCCATGCCCGGTTGCACACACAAGCTGTGTTGTGTCGTTTCAATGTTCTTTGTATTGTACTGCCTGTTTCTGTGGGATGTATTTCTGTGGGACGAACCCCTCTATGCACGCACGTTTAAAGAGGCTGGCATGGATCATGTATTCTTACCACAATACACAGCATCGCACCGCTGGAACTGCTCCAAGGGACGATGCACAAAAAACACGCCAAGCCTTGTGAATGCTGGAATCGCGATGATGCAAGAACAGTGAGAACACCAACGCAAATGAAATGGAGGCAGCTTGGTCTCGCATCTCCCTCGATACGAAGTTAAAAAAATTAAGGCACATAAATTCTGTTTGTATGTTTCAATATTTCTGTCAATCTTCGTACTTCTATTCAGGCAAAAAATTGTACAAATTACTCACGTCGCCTCAAATAAATCTCGCAGTGTCATGTACTACATTGGCGTATGCAGGACTGTTCCTTATTGTATACATCACCTTCACCATGTTGGGGCGCTCGCCTGTGAGATGGTCAAACAACGTTTCAGCTGACATTTTATCTTTTTCCGGGGCTCGTAGCATTGCAGCGCCAAGTGCATGCATTCCTCTTGTTTGCTCAAAATTCTCAAACTTCGTGAGGGGCCTTTTATGGTGTTCCAGAAGAGAAATAAACCCTGTGCCATTAGACCAAGTTAATACGAGACAAAATACACTTTGGACTATTAGCGTTTGCACAAGATGATTTTTCATCATGCACAAGATGATTTTTCGCTCACAAGAAATGACACCCATGCCGACACCAATGCCGATGCCGAAATTTCTGGGAAACAAATTCTTTAGCGCTATCATGTTAAATTTTGGAAAGGCCACCGGCAGCCAGATGCTGACTGTATTTGTCTTCGCGTAGTTCGAATTGCAATGTGAATCTGCTCATATAGCAAACAATATTAGGAAAATTTTCAAAATTTTGAATATTTGTGCATGCCTACATTTTTTTTTTGGCTATTCTCAATGCCCACTAACTATAAGTGGCATGCTGTGTGATTTAGGATGGTGCCTGGAGGAGGGTCAGGCTGTTTGTCAGCATAAGAACAGATAAGACGCGCAGACATATCGACCGTGTCACTTTCACTGAATAAAGTCGTGTGCTGCACTGAAATGTATATGAGACTAAGATGCTTTCTGAAACCACAGAAGCTCGCCGCCTGGATATTTTTCACAGTGTGAAAGGTTATATTTAAGCTCCGTTATCGTGTGTGAATGACGCCTTGCAAAATCCTGTGCGTGCTACAAAAAACTGCACTAAGAATTGATGTATAAGCTGAATGGCCTCCCGAGGTCGTATGTGTCGAGCCTGCCTGACAGATTTGCTGCAGTAGTAGGCTACTGGCAAGTAGTGTCAACGTTGCTGCATGGGACTGAATGATTAGCATGGTGATGGTTTGCAAACATAATACACCATTGTCATTCTTGTGCTGTTGCGAGCATGCTGTTGCTTCTTCAACAGAACACAAGCATGTAATAGCCCAATAAGTAGCACCCTTCTCTCAGCCATGCTCAGAATCTAGCCGTGCGCCTTTTATTGTACTCGGATGTTGCACGTTCGATCAGCGGGATTGAAATGAGAATATCGGAAAGAATACACATGTATGCTTTTTGCAACTTCGAAATTGTGAAAATTTGTTGAACAACACCATTTGGAAGGTACCGGTAGTACAGGAGAAGTCAGCAGAGATGCGTGGATTGTAGCTGTAACTGCATGATCTGCCTACTGACCATCCTTGAAAGGAAATTGCTGAATTCCGCTAGGTGTTGCGACAATCTGTGGGCATTGCGACACAAAATGTAGTAGAAGTATGAGTATGAAACAAGTGTACTTACTGCTGATGCACTTGTCCTAATCTGAACTACAGTAGACTCTCATTAAACGGAACCTGAAGAGACCGAGAAAATAAGTTTCGTTTAAGAGGTGTTTCATTTACTGAAAGATAAACAAGGGCACAGAGTACAAGAACAAGACCAATATTTCTGGAAGCACCTGTTCCATTTCAGCAGCAGTTCCAGCAGCAGATTTCTGTTTACTGAGAGTCTACTGTAGTGTAAAATGCTGAGCAAGTGCCCCTCCCCTGTGTGGTGAAAGATATAATCGGACAAGATTTGGAGAGGGATATGGAGGGGGTCGCAAAACAAAAATACAGGATGGCGGCAGAACAGCCACATCGGAATGCTTTATTGAGTCTGCATGCATTTACTGTTTTAACAGTGGAGCTATTAAAGCTTTTTATTGTACTAGGTAGGGAAAAAAGAAATGAACCAGCATGCACTTGCTTCGTCCTCTTCATCTTATGCTTTGCTCCCACAACATTTGCAATTTTCTGGTCATTGAATGCAATATCTATGATGGACAAGTATGTTAAGGAACTAGAATCGTGTGACACGCAGCAACTAGTCATGGTACTGAAATAACGTAACATCGCATCAGAACTTGTCATGTGACTAAAATAACATAATATAGCCTGATGAATCACAAAATTGTTTCCTAGCCAGATATTTCCATCCTAAATGATAATAGTTTTGGCTGTAATTTCTCAGACACTCCCATTCATTGCCACATCCTCAGTCAAAATTGAGTGTAATGATCCAGTGGCTACCTTTATCTGAATTGCAAGTTCCTGTACTCTGATGCAAACATCCTCCATGGCAATTCTTTGCACTTGCTAAAGGGCAGTCGCATTTCGACCTACCTGAATGCAGTTCGCCATTCACTGATGTTCATCTATCGTTAAAGCAGTTGTACAACCCCTTTACTCGAGAAGTGGTCACGGAATTGTTAGCTAAAAAGAATTAAATCTTGCAAATAGCTTCCACTTGGGTAACACCAAACCTTTGACAAAATCTGATGCAGCATCACCGCTCTTGTTGTTCTAATCATTTTACAACTTAGAGCAACCCGACTGGTGCTCATTACATCCTTGCTTATGGGCCAATTTTTAGCAACTGGAACTTTCTGTGGGCATAGAAATTCATTCACCAACCTTTACAGCGTTACACATGGACATGAATGTTTCTTTCATATCTCCAACAATGGAGAGCTCCTGCACTTCATTGGTTTACATTAAAAAAAAGGAAAGAATGCTCAGTACTTTTTGAACAGACATCGCAGTAGCAACTTACAAAATACAAAGGTATTTGTTTGAGATTTTTATATTATTTCTATGTGAAATGTGGTTATGGCGAAGGAAAAAAAAAGTTTTAAAACACTGGTTGTTGCTTTCTTGAAAATGTTGCTCCAGGGATATTTAAATTGATTTTGAAGTCTGGCCTCCTAACTACAAATTTTTCTAGCTGTGGCTGCACCTAAATTTATAGTGCTTCAATTTTCTTTACTAATTTTTCTTTCTGTAATGGATATTTTTATTATAATTTTCCAGGTACCTTGATGTGAATGACATATCAGAGATACCAAAGGAGCTGAACCTGCTGAAGGATGTCACTAGAATGTAAGCTGAATGTCTCTGTCTTCTCCACGAACATCGGCACTCGCACAAGTTATGAGGGTCATTGCTGTTGAATTCCTTTAACACATACTATTAATGAGATCTAACAGACAATAATACCAATGAAAGTATAGGAGACATTATAAGAAGTACTAATTGTTATATGAATGTGAAGAAAGATAAGTGGATGAAAAGATAACTTGCCGTGAACAGGGATCGAACCTGCACCTTTGAATAATGCGTCTAATGCTCGAATGCCATCAAATCAAATCAAATGCACTTTCAGTAGCTACCTTGCAAATAGCGGCAAGATGTTTAGAAAAATGCAGGATTTTATTTGCCAAACTTGTAGGTGTGCAGAAAGGTTCAATAGGCAGTTGAACTTGTGCAAAAAGATTTTATGAGTAAATTGAATGCAATAAAGGAACCAAAAGATCAGTTCTCTAATGTTTGTGCTAATTATTTCATGGTCAGCAGTGGTAATGTGTACACTTGCATTTTGAAGTATGGCTGCATTGAGCAGTACATTATGTGATTTAATTACTCTTCCTTTCTTTGTTGGCCATACCTCTCAGGCAGTGAGCATAGATCTGCCAACATCTATTATTCATTAGCTTATTTTGAAAATGAGCCTATTTTGAAGAAGGTTCTTGTAATTAAAACAGAAATTAAGTTCACAGACAGCTAAGAGTAAATTGTTTATTTGGTGCATCAGTACTGTAAAGAAATTGTGGAGGATTCCAAGATTCCTAACAAAGAAAGTAAAATGGAAGCACTAAAGTGGGTGGGTATGCAAACAAGCATGCAGGAGGAGGGAATGAAATTGCACAAATAGTGTTTGTGTTATTTTGCTCTCTTCTTCCGTGTTTATGTTTGCATGCACACTGGCTTTCATAATGAATACTTATTACAAACTGGCTCTGCTTCCTGTTGTTCCAAGAAAGAAACACTATACGTGTTTATGGTTTTGTGGCATAGCAATATTTTTGAATGTCAGCATGAATCTGTGAAATGCATGTAATGTGAGATATAGGTGGAAAAATTTGCACATTTAGTATACCTTACTCTAAAATATAACGCAAGTTTCCTTCAATTCCTAACAACGTGTGTTTGCTATGCAACGATTTCAGGTAGTTTTTAGCTAATGCAATATGTCTGTTGCTTTAGGAAATAAAACATACACAGTTCCTGGAACTGTTATGTCTTTTTTTGAGCCAGAGTTAAGGAACTTTCAACAGCCAATAAAAGTAGGTCTTTGCTTGTCATTCCAACAAACTTGATTCCAATAGGTCCCACAGTTTTCTACGAAGGGCATTTCTACATTTTACCATGTGTTCATGTAGTAAGTAGGCCTATTTAATTTCATACTCATGACATACACTCATATCTCATCATAAAAATGTTGCATCATGCACAAAAATAAGCTCACATTATAATTTTGTGCATGATGCAGCATTATTAAAATGCTGCATCTTGCACAAAAATAAGGTTTATTTCCAACCCTATATCTATTGCAGGACTATTCTTAATTTACTTTGTTATTACTGGGTTTGTTATATCGACATTTGAGTGTGTACATACTAACTTTGTATCAGTTCTACTTATCTTAGGTGACTGTAGTATCTATTTCTGTTCTTTAGAACTATGAGACTAGAAGCTGTGCACTCAGCACTGACAACATTAAAAGTGTGCGTTGGCGGACACATGTTTGTTATGCAGACAGCCACATTACTTAGTTTCTCTACCTAGTTATAATTGTGTTAATTACTACCACTTCTTGTTTTTGCTATTAGGGAATGTATGCCTGAAGCGTTGCTGTCATAAGTCCGGTTACTCTTTGAGGCTGATCTAAATATCGTAACTCATAGAAAACATAGGCATGCTCAAAATTTTCATAATAAATGTTAATTCAAATGTGCCTACATTCGGTCCGGCTTTCTGTGCAGCATGCTGAATGAATGTTTTCCCTATATGCTCATGTCTTTCAGAGATCTCAGCAACAACCAGATATCAATCCTCCCAAACAATATCTTCTCCAACTTATCCAAGCTTTCAACACTGTAAGTCATTCTTTAAAGTTCCTTCAAATTATTCATGAATGTCTTCGTTTCTCTGTGGCTGCATTATAGTTCCATATTTTGTGGTAGGTGGCACCTCATTCTCTCCATTTTTTTTTCCAGCATACTAAGTTACAACAAACTTCAGTGCATTCAAGCTGACAGCTTCTCTGGCCTAAAGTCCCTGCGAATTCTGTAAGTACTTCTGTCTTATGTACTATTGCTTTCTGTCAGAAAAATAAAAACAAAAAAAAACTACCCAATGTTTCCTACGAAGTCTATATTCATTCCACTTCGTTTTAGACTGCACTGAATGAGGGAAACTCTTGTATTGAGAGCTTAATTATAATGTAACTGTATCTAATTCATTTTTTATTCATTTATTAATACTGTTAGCCCTGAATTGGGCCATTACAGGTTGGAAGGTGCAAAATACTACTTTACAGGCTAAATGTGTAACAAAATTCAGATAATACCTTGCAGGGTTGTTACAGTGAGAGCAGTCCAAAGACTACTCTCAATGTAACGTGGACGACGTCTGATAAACGTGGATGACGTCTGAAGATGCAGAAGAAGCAGTAGGGCCATGAGGTGCTGTTTAATAGGTAACTTCAGTCAGCTGTTGTAGCACAGTGTATGAGCCAGAGTACTTAGGCAGAAGATCTTCGGACAGGCGGACATGCCGAAGCAGAGACCGCAGGAGGACAAGGTCGCCCACATTAAAGCAGACTTTCCGGTGGCGACAGTTGCACGTGTACTTCTGACGCACTTGCGAGACGGCAAAGCGTCAATGGGCAATCTGACGTGCCTTTTCATCCGTAGCGTTAGCATGGCAAGGATACGCTGTCGACAGGTTGGCAGGGCTGGGCATGAGCGTGTCAAAAGGCAAAGTTGGTTCTTGTCCATAGAGAAGATAAAAGGGAGAATATGCATAGTGTCTTGGCATGAGGTGTTGTACGGGAAAGTGACAAAAAGTAGCGCAGTGACCCGGTCAGGATTATCAGTCGAAACGTACATAGATAGCATATCAGTGATTCTGCGATGAAATGAAGTACAACAAAATTCATAATATAGCAGAATGCCTTTTCATTCTACAGTGGCATAGCAAGGGGGAAGGGGTGGGGGGTTCAACCTCCCCCCACCCAAATTTTTCGTTGACCCCCCCCCCCCCCCCCCCACCACATAGCCAGCTTTTTTTTCGTTGCTTCACACTGATATGACTTAAAAACTAACTGGGGCTACTATCACAACATCATTCCTGGGCGCTTTTACAGTGAAGAATGTCTGCATACAAGAAAACGCGTCACAGGGTCTGTCAAGGCTTTGGCTCTCTGTGAGATTTTGGGAAGGAATCTCGGCCGGGAGCATTGTAAGTTGGCTCGGCGACAACATTAATTCTGCAGCGGTGGCCATGTGTGTACCCGCCAGAACAGATGTTCCCGGAGTCGATCCCTACGATAATTTTTACTAGGCAGAGGTTTGTTTTAATGGAAAGAGGTAGACACAGTTCCAAGGTCTGATAGGTGAGTTTCAAGCATATTATACAGTGTGACTCTTCGTATGTGTGCTAAGATATACTAATGCCAGAGACTAACATTTCTGTTGAATCTTTGCACGTTCAATAACATCTAAACACCTCCACACCCCCCCCCCCCCCACACGCGTGTGTCCGAGACAGAATATTCGGTTCATACACCTAATCTTGATTGTATGCGAGTGTACAATATATCGATACATATCTTTACCATGCCCTAACGGCTAAAGGCACTCCGAAGTGTTGTCTAGTGACGAAGGTGCAACACAGGCAAACGTGCTGGCCAATCACAACCTTAGAAAGGCCTATTAAAATACTTATCACGTAAGTTAGGCTGCTAAATAAAAAATAAATAAAAAGATGGTGGTCATAAGCCTAAATCAGTGTGATGAGAAATGCACTGTGAGCAGCTGTAATGAGCACAAGTTTTATTGTTCAGCAGAGTGGCAAAGAGCGTAATAATAAGGAACATAAGGCTGAAAAAAAAAAAAACGACAAATATATATACATAAATATCTATATATATATATATATATATATATATGTTTTGACACAATTTTAATGAGATCTAACAGACAATAATGCCAAAGAATGTATAGGGGAAGTTATTCGAACAAATGTAATGTAAGTAAGAAGAAAGAAAAGTGGGTGAAAAATAACCAGCCCTGAGCAGGAATCGAACCTACGACCTTCGAATAACGTGTTTGATGCTCTTCGAACGCGTTATTCGAAGGTCGTAGGTTTGATTCGTGCTCGCGGCTAGTTATTTTCTCACCCACCTTTCTTTCTTCTTATTTACATTAAATTTGTTCGAATAACTCCCCCATACATTCCTTGGCATTATTGTCTGTTAGATCTCATTAATATTGTGTCAAAACACGGAAAAACGAGCCCTTAGGTATACACCTCCTTTCCTTATATATATATATATATATATATATATATATATATATATATATATATACCTGTTGTCATTTCGGTGAACATAAGAGCAGAGCACTCTTTTCTGCCTGTTTGGCATCACTTAGTATGTGATTTTATTACGAGCTGACAGCTGACGAATAATTCCTCACATACCACCTCGTATCCTGCCAGTGGCAAGTCCTCTTTTCGGCCACATTTCTTTCTTCATGGTTACATTACTATTACATAATAACATTCCCTATACTTTCTTTGGCATCATTGTCTGTTAGTTCTCTATAATATTGTGTCTAACAAAAAAATGAGCTCTTAACCAAACACTTTCTTTCATTCATAGCAAGGGTCTCGTTCTGGCAGACTTTGTGCCTTGAGGTGGTATACGAGAGATTATTGGTCAGCTGCCAGATCGTAATAAGTTCACGTACTAAGTGACTCTAAACAGGCAGCACTCGCCGTAATGATAATAGGTGGTGCTTACTGATGCTGCCATGTTTAAAACACACATATATACCCTATAAAGTAGACGGGGGAGATGACCGCCACCGTAGCTCAGTGGTAGAGCATCGAACGTGTTATTCGAAGGTCGCAGGTTCAGATTCTGTCGGTGGCAAGTTATCTTTTCATCCACTTTTCTTTCTTCACATTGACATTGCAGTTACTTCTAATAACATCCTGTATCCTTTTCTTGACATTATTGTCTGTTAGCTCTTAAGGGGAAATCCGATTCAAAATAAAAAGTTTCGTGAATCTGTATCCTGGGGCAATGAAATTATTTTGTGTGTCTATAGGCTTTTAGCTGATTTCAAATATATAATTAGTTTTATAGTAAGTTGCACAGTTTTTGTTTTGTGCCACAACAATGTGTAAAATATTATTTGTTTTGGACAAACCTTTTATGCCACCAATCTTCTACGGGTGTCAGCCATTAATGGCTCATATTGCTCCACATTAAATGCAGAATGCAAATAGCTATCAAAAAAGTGGGCATAAGACATCTTTTCGAACAAAAAAATAAGGTGAGAATTCTTAGAATCCTCAGCCAATACTAATTGCTTGCTCTAGGTTCATAATAACTATATAGGTTATATAAAGTTTTAAAGATACTTGCACCCTTCACATGTTGCAGAATATCTGGACTAATTTTCATCCTAATCTGGCTCTCGGAAGTACCAAAAATATAAAGTTGAACTCAAGAAGTTGTCCAAAGATCTATCTTAAGAAAAATGCGTTTTAAAGTAACAAGTCAAAGCTCATCTATGTGGCAATGGTATGTTTTTAAAAATAATTTCTGCCATCACGAGGGCTTCGCAATCATTTTATTTTGAGCACGTGTCTTTAGGAACTCCTCATGTTAAATGCAATGGCAAGAAGCCAGGTGACAATTGCCAGGAAACTCTAGACAATGAGCTCTTTTTAGTTTTAGTAGCTACCTTGTGCTCTTTAAAAGAGATTTTAACCTATTTTGAGTTTAAGTACAATGTTCTAGGCTTGTGCGAATATTCAAATGCTTCAAATATTCGAACAAATAGTACCATATTTAAAATCATTTTGACTTGAATTTAAATTAGTGAAAATTTTGAAGTATACGCTATGAACGAATAATTGTATATTAATCTACATGTAACTTTTTGTAAAGGTTGTTTCACTGCAGTTTATGGGCACTAAGCCGTGAAAGCAGCTATCGAGGGGGAATTTGCACTGGGGCAAAATTTTTTTTTCGAAGTTTAAGGGGCCCTGCAAAACTTTTTCAGCATGGTCGGAAAACGCTGTCGATCCGTAGTCGAGGCTCCCGTGAACACGTGAGCCTCGATGTGTTTCGCAGCGAGCAGCCGGAAATTCCCAATAAATTCTCAAAATCAGCTGAAAATTGCTTTTCCTTCTCTCGACAAATCCGGCTACTAGCTCAAAAATCATTCATCACAGCCATTGTATCAGTGACTGGCTGATTTCTGCATGGCGCGTTGGCTGTTACTGGGGCCGCAACTTGTGCATGCGTGCGTATGCGATCGCACTGAAAACCAGCGTATTCTAAGGAAAAAAAAAGAAACGTGCTCAAAGTCACGAGGCACGCGTGTCGTATTTTCATCTCCCGTGCCATTCCTTCAGGATGAGGGAAGGAAAAATGTATTCGCAGCATGCAGCAATGCTTTGTAACTCCGCTTATACGAAACAGATTCTAAAAATTTTTGCGGCGGTGAATTTGTGAAGCAAAAAGCTCCTTTAATGAATCCAGGCCACATCTATTTGAAAATGTGTTACAGGGTTCCTTTAAATAAACGTATTACCCTTACATCGATTCATTATTTTTTCAGTTTAAAAGCTTGTTACGCTAGCTTATATGCTCTAAGTATCGTAAATTTAAAATGTAACATATTTTACAGGTTATCACTTGCATTCTATCGAAAGTCAAATCCTGCTGCTACTCAAAGCTGTTTTGATTTCCTTTGAACAAAGAAAAATGGCATTTGTATAGAAGCCTTATTTTAATTTAAAAAGTATTGTGTAGGTTAGTCAGGTCATGATTAATATACCCATTTTTTTCATATATGTCATATAGACTATTTGAATTCAATTTGAAATTATTCGACTGAAATCACTATTTGCTTCGAATTCGCTTTGAAACTAAAGTTCACTATTCGTACAAGCCTACAATGCTCACTTTTTTTTGTTGTTAAAGTAGACATACTAAACTTGTGCGAGCAAATAAGAACGAAATATATGTAATTTTAAAAAATGTTGCATTTTTTTACTCACTTCTCTCCTTAAGGTACATATGTCAGGGTAAGGCCATTTTTATTAATAAGTTAATAACACCCTTTTGTGACATTTCTGCCCGCATCAACCATTGTCATGAGAAGGATATTCATGTCACAGGTACCAAACACTTTTACAATTTCCTCTTCCCCAGTATGTCAGTAAGTTGTAATCACCATCTGCAATCTCTCCTTGAAATATCTGGTAAATCTAAGTTCAAGGCTGCTTTAACCAACCTGTTGTCATAAACTTAATAATTTGTGGCAATTGTAATCTTTTTGCTGAGCCCTTTTGTTTATTTCTTTTGATCATGCCAATATTTTGACATGTAGTGATAATATGGTCTTTGGTATATGGGCATCGGTTGTTGTTTTAAGCATTATTATTTGTTTTTTACAAGAGATTTCTTTCAATACTTTTTATTCTCAGTCAACAGTTTCTTTTTCTATTCTTTTACTGTGCACTGTTCATGTTATTTTCCTGTATTATTTTAAGGTTACCCTTTCTCTCTCTCTGTCTCTCTCTATTTCGTTTTAGCCCCAAAATATGTTGTATATTACAAATGTAATCCACTCATTTCTGTAAAGCCGTCAGGCCCTGAGGGCAATCAAATAAATAAACAAACAAAACAAAACAGACATTATGTTACCCTTTCTCTCTCTCTGTCTCTCTCTATTTCGTTTTAGCCCCAAAATATGTTGTATATTACAAATGTAATCCACTCATTTCTGTAAAGCCGTCAGGCCCTGAGGGCAATCAAATAAATAAATTAACAAACAAAACAAAACAGACATTTAGTCTTCACTTGAGACAGTTGTTGGCATAGTATATTCCCAACAGAAATGGTCACTGCACTTCATAGACATTACTACAGCTACTGTTAATAACAGTTATAAAATGATACCATTTGCAAAACTCAGTTTCAAATCCCAGTCATGCCCATGGGTGAGTTTGCAGACAGAGGATAGCAAAACAGACACACCACCTGGGAGCGATGACAGAAAACACGCAGCATTGCCATGATTGTTGCACCTTTGTGGCTGTGTTTGTGCGAGTTGCCACAGCTATAATGAAGAGAAGTATCCATCTTGGTAGGAAGTGCACAACTTTGACACAGGAACACAAGACACAAGCGCTTATGAATAAGCACTTGTGTCTTGTGCTTAATAAATAAGCACTTATTAAATAAGTGCTTGTGTCTCGTGTTCCTCTGTAAAGATTGTGCACTTCCTACTAAGATGGATTCATACCAACTGGTCCGATATATTTGTTTATTGAGAAGAAATACCTTAGGAGAAGGTCAAAGTGAGCTGTTTACAGCACCTTTACAGTATCATCTACAAAACGTAAGACACAGGCATAAACATACTGCTCATTTATTAATGCACCATTACTTGTGTACTGAAACACTGAAACATACAAAAATGATATTTATTAGCTTGGTCCTTCCGCTTCAGTGTGGGAGGTAAATAAGCAGACCTCCATAACTTTGGCCAGCAGCAGGTCTGAATTTTGATAAACGAAGCCTATGGGGAGTATTGCAGCTTGCATGATTGAACTAATCCAATTATCAATAAATTATCAATAAATATAGTTCGAATTTCAATTGAGAGGCAGCACAGAGCTCATCTCTGTGGGACAAAAAAACATTTTGAGTCGCGAATCGTTTTTGAATACAGAAGGATTGACGTCCATACAGTAACTAAAAAAAAACGTACATCTAAATAATAAATTGTAAGTCGCTCTGTAGATGTAATTCCTTGTTTTAGCTCCAACTGTAACAAGCTGCCTCCATCTGTGTCAAGTAAGCTACTATTGGCGAAGTTTGGTTACCTCAAAATTCACAAAAATATGCTGTCACCTGTGGACGAATGCTGCAGTGTTTTGCTATTTTCCTCCACTGTGCATGCAATTGTGTCATGATACCCTTTCTGGTCCCACAGGTCACTACATGGCAATGACGTGTCGATGATACCAGAGGGCACCTTTCGGGACCTGCAGTCTATCACACACATGTGAGTCGGCATGAGAGGTCTGATGCCTGAGATCGAGTTGATGTGGACGATGCAGGCAACTTATAGCAACTTGTGGGACGAAAACATTTCTTGTGTCTGTGTAATAATTTACACCAGTCTTTATTCACTTCCTTGGCAATGTTTCCTTTGTGCAGCACCTTGTTTAATGATGTAAGACTGACCTGCCCAGCAACGTGCATCAATACTTGAGGTTTACAACTTATGTTTTTCACTTTATATTTTGCTTCTAGCACATGCTGGAAGAAAGAAATTGCTTATTCCCCGATCACATTTATAATGTAATGTGTATTCACATTTTATTGACATGTCTTATGAAAAAAAATATCTGGAGAATGTAGTAAAACAAAATGTACCATGTGGATCAGTTACTGTAGATGTAATGTACCTTATCTACATCATTGTACTTTTACATATTTTGTTTAAATTGGGAAATCAGAATTTTTTTAAGAGAGGTGAAGGGGAAGGGTCGCTTTTCAATTGAGACTGAGACATGCACCACCAGCAACGGCAAAAGCACAAATCAGAAATTAGATGCTCTGGTGTGGTTAAAAATTTACACTTGCTTTCTTAAAATTTACATCTGCATATGTTTGCTCCATATACTTGAATTGTGTGGAGGTTCTTTCTTTTTTTTTTCAACTTGTACCTCACACACAGACAGAGCTATGCATGCATCACTTGTGGGAGTAGGGATCATTGAAGGAAGAGCTACTGTTTCACGCAGTAGCTGCACGGTGACTTGTTCAGAGTGTACCAGCACCTGGTGGAAGAGCTTCTCTTTCTGGCTCTTTGGCTGGTTTTTCTTGAACAGCCGTTTGATGCTGTTGTGCATGATCCCCATCCTGAATCGTCATGATTACTGCAGGCCCAAATAAAGTTTCGGCACTTGTTCACAACAGCATTGTAGACTGCTCGCGTTCTCCATGCCGAAAATCTAAGTACGCAGTGAAGTGCAAGTTTAGAGCTTCTCAACAGGCAGTGTGGTAATGGCAACTACAGCTTGACGAAATTTTAATGTGTGGCACCAAACACTGAAGCTTCCGCAAATTTTAGTCTGGATGCTTTGCGATGTTTGCGGCATATGTGACCGAACTGCACAATTAGTCTCAAAACGGTTTGAGACTAATTGTGCAAAACAATAACAAACAATAAGTCTCAAAACGGCAAAACGGTTTGATAGATGCCCGTGTCTTCACCATCTAAGTTCATAAAAAGGAAGATGTCCCTTATAACAACAAGTAGTCAGTGCAGTGACCCTGTTTATTTCTATTGTGGAATTCACTTAGAGGCCCATGTGCTCAGATTTCGGTGCACGTTAAAGAACCCCAGGGAGTCGAATTTTCCTCCCTACAGTGTCTCATATGGTGGTTATCATATCATATGGTGGTTTTTATATGGTGGTTTTGAAACGTTAAACCCCACATATCAATCAATCAATCAGTCAATCAATGTGGAATACACTCGCATGTATTTTTTTGTTATGCTCTATATAAAAGACTTACCCTCTAGTTGGCTTACAGTTGTGGAAGTACGGTAATCTATTGTTTTAAAAAAAATTAAATGAAACACTGCAAATTTCTAAGTACAAAAACAGCTATGGGGAGTGCAATGCAAACACAATACTTTTTGTCACTGTTCTTTGTTCATGACATGATGCACAAGTTAATCCAACAGCAAGATATCCTGAAACAGCAGGGAAGTGCATGAAGAGATTGACATATGAAGGGTTATTCAGAAGTTTCAACAAAGCACTGCAGGGGAGCTACATGAATTGGAGGGCTCCTGCAACACTTTCTCAGCATGGTCAGAAAACACTGCTGATTGGTAGTCGAGGCTCTAGAAAACACGTGAGCTAGACATTATGACACAGCGCACGGCCTGTAATTTACAATTAATTCTAGAAATTAGCTAAAAATCATTCCCTATTTTTTCTATGAGTGATGCCAAATACCACATCATATAATCAAATTCATGACCATTCGCTGATTTTAGCATTGTAAACTACATAGCTACCACAACCGCTATATGGGAGGCTGCCAGGTTGCGATTACACTGAAAGTGAGCTCTGCTTTCGAGAAAAAAACAAAAAACAAAACAAAAAGGGGCTCAAAATTATTATGTGTGCGTGATGTACCTTCTTTCTTCCGTGCCATTCCTCCCTGCTTAGCTTCCAGCAGACTCATCAGAACAAGAGGAGAGAGAAAGCAATTAGTGCATGTGACAAATTTCTGTTACTCCGCTCGTACTTGACTGATTCTAAAAAATATTTGCACAGGTCAATTTGTGAAGTAATAAAGCTCTTTAATGAAGCCATTTGATGGTTACTTGGGAAAGTGTTGCCAGCAATGGTGTAAGTGCCGCAGGTGCCACTTCAAAAAGGGCACCGAGACGAGTGCGCCCAACATGTACTGGGGACAATGTGCCCATGGACAACATGTGCGTGAGAGACAAAAATGCCTGGAGACACAAATGGCGTGCTAGCACCCCATGCCCTATGGAAAGGCTTTTCATGTCTTTTTGTAGGAAGCCGCACCTACTGTCACAAACCCCATTAATGAAGTGGTAATCACCAGGCATATCTCAGGGTTGATGTATCGGCCCCTGAAACGTACCATGAAAGCAGGAGCAATTTAAGAGTAGGTCCTTTTAGCGTACCAGTGAATTCCGGTTGGGGTCCAAAGACCAAGCCAGAGCCAAGAGCTCATTGCACAAACAAAATATAGTCTCCATTAAGGCTGTACAAGCATCACACTCTTAGATGGTTTAAACACAGTACAGCTCATATGAATCTAACAATCAATGGGGAATAAATGATCACACTCACTCAAATCCAATTACTTGGGAATATTCCAGAAGGATGCAGAACAGTGATTTCATATCCACCAGCTTGACAAGTTCCTTCACCTAGCACTGTTGAGCAATTTCCCTTCGCTGTCGTCACATGCTCCTCAGCGACACTCTTAAAAACTTTTCACTGCTGCCGGGGTGTCATCTCTTGACTCCTAAAAGACCAACTGACAGCACTACACAACAAGCTCACTCCAACACAATAACTTCTTGTTTTACTGACTGACCAATTGAGGCCAGTTGGCAGTTACCATGAGCAGGCACTTGAAGTTCTCTAAGAAATGGTCATTAATAACAAAGAATGATGAGGTGAAACGAGAAGTAATGCCACACGATTGCAAAAGTGGATGTTAAGTTATGGTTTTTTATTTTGTTTATCATCTGGAACAATATACTGCATAGATTGTGTTATAAGAAGCTGCAAGATCTAAAAATGAACTTTTGCAATGCTGCCTTAGACATGAAAGCTCTCAGAGATCGCTTTTGTGACCTAAGCAAAACTCTGGGAGGTTAGTCACTTGATGAAAGGCTTGGTCTCTGTGAGGTGTGTAATGTCAATATAGAAAGGCATGAAACGGAGTTTACGGCTAAGCAGGGAATAGAAAAGGTCATGAAATCAACACTCAACAGTCTTCATTCTGAAATCAATGAGATGTTTGCTTGCCTGCAAGACACCAATGCCAAGTTTGGCTTTCTCCTGGACATCAACAAGCTGTGCTACAGTGATGACAAGAATGAACTAAATTAAACTGCTACAACGTTGGCAAGTTTTATCGTTCCAATGTTAATGTGCAGGACCTGTGTGAAGAAATTTTATATTGCTGACTGCTGACCAGAGAGTGTAAAAAACTGAAGAACTTCTGAAATTTCTTCCACAGTAGAGGGAAGACAGTGTATTCCCCAACCTTCGTGTTGCTGTTCAGATAATTTTGTTGATCATAGCGGTTTTCATTGATGGTTATGAGGGGTCATTCAGCCAGCTTAAATTGACACCTTCCGATTTATGGGCCACAGTGGGCCAGGACAGACTTTCTGACCTTGCTCTACTGAGTGTGGAAACTGAAACAAACTTTTATGTCCTTATAGAAAGGTTTGCTTCATCGACAGCAAGGAAAGTGTTATTCTTTTTTTTTTTATGAAGCTTTCTAGTGTACAGTTTTTTCATACCTGTTAATTATAGCCAAATAAAGTAAATAAAGAGTTTAAACATAAATAACACGTTTTTCTCAACAGCAATTGTTCACAATCGACATCAATACTGGCATCACACTAGATAATTATATGCGACGAGGAAACAACAGTGTTTGCCAGAGTGAGTTTTTGGAGGCACCATTAACACTAACGAAATATATTGGCTTAACATGCAGATTTGATGCGTAACAAATAATTTTGTCATGATATGTAGCAAAAATGTTAAGAATTGTTTACACCCCTACTTCATCATTCTCTTTTGTGTGATAGTATGTAATTTGTGAACTTCGCATATTTTGTGTAAAGCAACACGATGACTGGTGACCAGCAAGGTCTACTTTTTTGCATTTTTTTTTTAACTTTGTGGGCTTCTCAAGTATTGGACGATTCATAAATGTGTAACACAACTATAGTTCACTGTTGTGAACAATTAACCAAGAAATCACTCATTCACTTGTGCAAAACAGCCAGATGGTATATTTTTGCACACAGATAATAATAATAATAATAATAATAATAATAATAATAATAATAATAATAATAATAATAATAATAATAATAATATCAACATCATGAGAGGTACAAAAAGATATTTTTTGGGATAGGTGCCATCCTATCCCTATCTAGTTACGCCACTGGTTGTGCAGTTACTTTAACATAACTGATAATTGTCTCAAATGAATTATGCACTTATGAAATGTACTGATTGGCACAGTGTAGTTTTCATAGGATGAAAAAGGGAAACTGTAAGGAATCATTTACCCTTCAATAACTGGAATGTTTCTCAAGACTTAGGAAGAGCAAAGCATTTGTCGTGAGAAAACGGTGGGGGCATTGGTTTGATAATTGTTTAAAAGTACACGTGCATGGTTTGAAAAATTTGCTGACAATATTTCAGTCTTGTGTGTTTCAGACATTAGAGAGTTTCAAGGCTGGGTACCCCAAGCTACCTGCGTGCGCACGCTTTCACGTTTTTTTGTATACTCCACAGGTGCAGCTGGGAGTACAAAGGAATGCAAGAGTGTGCGTACGCAAGCGGCCGAGGGTCCCCGGCACTAGAACTATCTTTTATGATGAATGGGAGACCAAGTTTATGATCTGGTGATCTGGTAGAGGGCCTTGGTTGTTCTTGCACACCGACTTGTCGCAGCGGACGAACCATGACTCGAGAAGCTTTTTTTTCCCCCTTCGTTGTTCCTGAGCCAGGATCGTGGCATTACTGAAGTCAAAGGCATGCCTGATTGTCCAGCACTGTTCAACGAGTTGAGCCTTGAAATGCGGGACATGGGTGGTTTTGGCGACGTCCCCTTTGTGCTCTTTGAGCCTCATTGACTGCACCCTGCCTGTTTCGTCAATGTATGTGGCGTCACAGTCACCACACGATACTTTGTAAACGATCCCGTTTTGATCGTTCGCAGGGGTTCAGTCTTTAGGTTTGGTGAACACGTTTCCCAAGGTACAATGAGGCTTAAAAATGGTTTTAATGCCCAGTGGACGAAGTGCTGGGCATTAATATTTCTTAAAATTGGTTGTTTGTTTGGCTGCATTGTGTTCCTAATGAAAGGTAGAGAGCAAAAATGAAGACACAAGAGCACAGTTTTCCTAGGAGAAAGAGCTACAATAAGCAGCAATGGGGACTGTAATGGCTGTATTATTCTCACTGTCATTGCAGCTAATAGCATGTTGCTCATGTGTTGGTGGATGACGTCATCAGCTATCACCAATTTATGACTGCTGCCCTGTTTTGTATGTCGCAGAGCCCTTGGCGCAAACCCTCTCTACTGCGACTGCAACCTTCGCTGGCTCTCGGACTGGATCAAGAAGGACTATATTGAACCAGGAATCGCACGCTGCTCTGAACCTGAAAACATGAAAGACAAGCTGGTGCTCACAGCGTCCTCGAACCACTTCGTGTGCGCTGGTGAGTACACACAGATTTTTTTCAGGGCTTTAATCAGCCGTATCACTCCTATAATTAGACGTATTACCACTGTATAGTCTAGGTATCTAGTAATCATGACCTTAGGTAAGCTCCCTTTAAAGTACGGAGCACTTCAGGGGGGGCTAGGCTGCATGCGTACTTTCGTAGTCGCCCATGATCGCATTTGACACGGCGGCAATTGTGTTCGCAGCGGTTGTGGCAGAATGCAGTTATGCTGGGACTAGGTGCGCACTGCTCGCATGTGCGCCTTCACGACACGTGGTTGTCATTCACATTCCCAGGGCTAGTGACCACGAGCAGTAGTTTTGTTATGAGTGCGACATCAAAAATGTTTGGCGGGGGTTCTTGAAGATTGCGATTCTGCCGCGGCCCACAAGTGCATCAAATCCACCGGCAGCATCATGGCGAATGGGCGCGCTGTAACCGAGCATCTCAGTTGCGATAAATTGAGTGGGATGTGCGTGTGGTGGCAGAAAGCGTATATCCGATGAAAACACGGTTGTTGCGATGCGGCCGTGTGCACTGAATGTCAGGATTCATTGAGAAATGGTCAAGTTGGTATTGGAATTTCGCAGCAATTCGACACAAGTTCCTTTTTCTTATGGGGTAGTAATTCGCGAAAACTTCGTTAAAGTGGAAATATCCAGGAAAAGTATTTTTTGTGACGAGACCTTTTTCACCTTGTTTTTTATGGGCGGCTGACGGGGAATTGAAAATCATTCATGAATGTAGCGGAAATTTTGTTGTAGTGGAATTAGGTATAGCGGGATTCGGCTGTAAACACTCATAAAAAGGCAGGAAAAGCTGATAGAATAAAAACAAAGATATGAAAAAAAGATAAAAATAAAGATAAAAAATCCACCCAGCTTCACATTACTGTATAAAGCTTGGCCCCACTATTCTGAAGCTGCCCTAATTTTTTTCCTCTACTATTGCTTGATTACTCTTCATTACCACTCTATAGTAGTATGCTAAACAAGACAGCCTCACAGGATAATGACAAAATGACTGGCTATAAAGAGAATTATAATGGCTCATTTTTTTGTTAAACACAATATATTAATTAGGTTTAGCAGTCTGGAAAGCTTAAAAAATATAGGGGGTGGTATATTTAGTAACTGTGATGTAAATGTGAAGAATGTAAGGTGGATAAAAAGATAACTTGCCGCTGCCAGGGACCGAGCCTGCAACCTTTGTTGGTGGCCATTTCTCTTTTCATCCACTTTACTTTCTTCACATTTACAACTTGCCACTGGCAAAGCTCGCAGGTTCGGTCTTCTGCACCGGCAAGTTATTTTTTCATCCACCTTACATTCTTTATGTTTACATCACAGTTACTATAGATATCATCTTCTTTATATTTTCCTAGGCTTTCTTGAGTGCTAGATGTAAATAATATTGTGTTTAAAAATGACTGGCAGTGGTTCAACAGCAAATGCCTCAACCTCTAACCCATCCCCAGTTCAAAGATATTGATCACATCATAGCTAACTTTATAAGTCACAGATATGAAAAAAGAAGTAACTTCTGCCAGTCCTTATAACAAAATGTGCAGGTGGTGCCATAGGGTCACATCTGAGCAAGAAGAAAATGTTGTATTCCTTGCAGGACAAGATTGCAATCTCAGTGTGTTTGTTGTCATCATTTACATGCTGTTCTGTGAACGTGATGCCCTAAAATTTTCATTGCATCCTATATATTATGGTAGCTTCAGTCTAATAGATGTCAAATGAACACACATTTGTGAACTTATACTGTAATGAAGACATCTGTGCACGTCAGAAATTCTCATGCATATAATGTTCTAAACAACCCTTCCGTCTTTACACTGACAACCAGTTAGTAAACAGTGTTGTAGCATGTTGAACCACATTAACTACCTAACCTCATGTTTACTTGCATTGCACATTCCAGTTTGTTGTAGCTTGTTGCATTTTCCTTTCTTGCCCAACCTCTGAGCGTACCATTTTGACCAATGCTGCAGCCAAACCGGAACCGGATGTGCTGGCAAAATGCGACGCTTGCTACACATTCCCGTGCCAGAACGGCGCCACATGCCGCGCCGTGCCGCTGCGGGACTACGAGTGCATGTGCCCACCTGGTTACCATGGTCGGAATTGTGAATACCTTGTTGACGCTTGCTATGGAAACCCCTGTGAGAATCATGGCACCTGCAAAGTACTCGAAGCAGGGCGTTTCAGGTAGGCATATCCCCCATCTTGCCGGCAAGTGGTGTTTGCATTATAGTCTTGATTCAGCCAACATGAACCATTTTGCCCCTCATACAGCTGCCATTGCCCAATGGGCTTCCAAGGGGACCGGTGCGAGACCAACATAGATGACTGTTACAAGAACAAGTGTGAAAACAATGCCACTTGTATTGATGCAATTGGAAGCTACTCGTGCTCCTGTGCGCCTGGATATACTGGTGTGGATCATTTTTTTTATCCCCTTTGTCTCTGTCATCATAGAGAGTTTTGTCACATGAATATATATAGTGATGAATTCACAGAATAATTTGTAGTGTTAGGTGTTCCCACATTTATCAGCAAATAGAAAATGGCAGTCTGTGATATCATAGCCTAGAGATGCATTTCCTTCCCCACCGTGCCCTTTATTTTTTTTCTCTTTTTTTTATCTGAGGAGGTTGCAATGCTGTATTATGTCGTTTAAAAACTGGGACTACTACTTTCTTTCTGTCAGTCGGAAGACTTGAATCCAGCCTCATGTTGTTGTTGTTTTATTTGTTTTTCAACTTACAGGGAACTATTGTGAAAAAAAGATTAGTTTCTGCAGTAAGGAATTCAACCCATGCAAGAATGGTGCCACATGTGTTGACCACATCACGTATTACACGTAAGTATGCTTAATGCTGTGCTTTGTTGTAGGCTGATTCATAAAATAAGTTTTAATAAAAACAAAATCAGGGTACCATTATTGGGTAATTTAGTCTTTGTTAATAGAAGGAGCATTTACCTTCTGAAGTGATAGGCGACTGAGCATCCAAAAGCTCTCTTCTTGGTACACATTAAAGAGGCTTGTCCATTGTCATGGAATTAGCAGTAACTGCAATGTCAGTTTTGTGCACATGGCCACAACAATGACAAGTTGCCACGAATGCCTGACAAAAAATGTGCTGGTTGCAGCTTGAGGGGGACCTAGCCACCTAATACACAGGACTTATTTTTAAAACATGGTACCACACACCGCAAAAGTTTGTGATGCATATGCAGTGTTTTTTCCCGAGAGGACCAATTGTTGGCATGTGCACATTTCCAGGTGTGCTTGTGCACTGGGCTTCGAGGGTGTTAACTGCACCTCCAATGTGGATGACTGTGCGGAGCAGCCATGCCTAAATGGTGCCACTTGTGTGGACGGTATCAACAGCTACCACTGCGTGTGTCCACGCGGTTTTGGGGGTACACACTGCGAGCTGGCACCTATGGTTGCTATGCTGTACCCACGCACCAGCCCCTGCCAGCAACATGATTGCAAGCACGGCGTCTGCTTCCAACCAGGAGGTGCCGGTGCCGACTATGTGTGCAAATGCAGCCCGGGCTTCACAGGTCACCGCTGTGAGCTGTTGTCGAGTGTGAGCTTCCGTGAGGACTCTTTCCTTGAGTTTGAACCTCTCCAGACTCGGCCACGTGCAAACATCACTCTCAAGTTGGCCACACGGCACGAGTCTGGAGTCATTGCCTACACTGGTGAAGGCCAGCACCTGGCTGTTGAGCTGTTCAAGGGGCGTGTACGAGTCAGCTATGATGCTGGCAACTACCCAGTATCGACAATGTTCAGCTTTGAGACTCTGCCTGACGGCGATTACCACTCGCTCACACTTGTTGTCGAGAAGAAGAATGTCACAATGATGGTGGATGGTGGTCCCACCCGCTCCGTTGTCAACGAGGGCCCCCACGAGTACCTGGAGCTGCATACTCCACTCTATGTGGGTGGACTGCCTGCAGATGTGGCAGCCATTGCTCTGCGCCAGTGGCATCTGCGCAATGCCTCCAGCTTTCTTGGTATGTGCTCATTTCAATGGTTTTTCAGTACACCACAGAGCCTTCAAAGCTATCGCAGGAGGTAGACCATTGAGCTGTGTGCAGCTAGTGCCGTTGACCATCCAACTAGCACAGTTTGTATGTCAGGGAAATTTCCCAGCCCTGTCAGTGAGTACACACAGAAAAAAACTGTTTATTAATTAAGTCTCTGTATTTATGAACATCTAGTTTGTGTAAGACTCCTAACGGGAGTGAGGGGCCAAGGAAAACGGAAAGGGCAGTGCTGCCACCAGTCGTGTTGTCTTTAATCATTATGCAGCCTGTGGCCAGAGATTTCATACGGTGCAATCTCATATGCCACATGCAACCTTCCCTATAGGACTTCACAATGCCATGCAATGACATGCATTTTTATCTGAAAATCATAGAAAAAAATTTTGACTCCTATTGCTGGTCTATTCTTGCACAAATTTAGAAACAATCACACATTTGGTTGTCTAGATGTATCTTAGCACTCAAGATAGTATTCGTTAAGGATTTAAGAATAAATGCAAACTTTCGTTCACTTATAGAAAAATTAGAACGATGTCTCCACAGGCAGTTATTTCATGTGTTTGTGTCACTGCCTGCCAACAGCAATGTAAAGTAGTTTAGTAATGTAGCTTTTTGTGTGAGTTGGTTCAAATTACTAATAAGAAAAAGGAACCAGCAAAAAAACCACATGAAGACAGCAGAGAAGAACAACTATGCAGGACAAGCACTGGACTTACAACTGAATGTTTACTGAATAATTGCACACACTCCCACATATGAAACAATAGTGCATGCGTAAAAAAGGACCATCTGAGCCATGCCAACCTTGGCACCTAACCGTCAATATCATGAAACGTGTTAAGCAATGATAAGATTTAACCAGTGGTTTACCAGCTATCTAAAAACACGAATTCTTTCTCTGTGAGGAAAACTGAGGGTTCGCTCACACATGACAATTTGCCCCGCTTCCTGATTTCGAAGGCCTCACAGATCTCACGTACAATCTTGTTTCTACCTTTGCCAATTACGATCGTTGATTTGAAATCTGGGAAGCAGCCGCAGCTTTTAGAATGCAGAGGCAAGATTACTCCAAGGCCTGTGGGGAGGAGATAGCGGTGTTCACGCAGCCTGTCATTCAGGCATTGGCCCGTCTGGCCAATATAGACACAGTAGCATTACAAGGGAATCAGGTATAGTACTGAAACATGACATTTCATGAAAACGTTAGCGTACTTATTTCTGCAAATGCTGCTTGAACTATTTTTTTTGCATAGATTTGCATTTCGCATAGACTCTGCAAGCACACATCTATGCAAAAAAGATAGTTCGAGAAGCATTTGCAGAAAGAAGTATGCTTACATTTTCACGAAAAGTCCTATTTCAGTGCTATTCCTTTTCTCTTGTTTCACCCTCTCCCCCACCCACAATGCTCGACCACATGTTGAGTGGAAACATTCTTTCGGCTCGTTTATCTGCCATGAAGCTTATACGAAACCAAACCTGTCTCCCATGTTTTTTCGTTTTAAAGAAACGTTTACTCGAGTAAAGGCTACACAGATTTTCACTTCAAACCATTTTTCGAGCACCCGCGTCAGTGCGCATTTCAGACGGGTCACACCCAATCAAGGCTTCCTTTGGGGAGATGGTCCATAATTTTTATCTCTTCTTTTTGGCAAGTATTCCATACTAAACATATTCGTCATTTGGCAGCATATTTCTTGAGTTGACCCGAGGCCCAGTTCGGCCAAACGTAACAGTAGCATTAATGTTTTATATTATCCATTATTCTTTCATACACTCAAACCTTATAACGAAACCATTCTTGTGGTGCGAACCTCATTTTATTTTAAGTTTTATTAAGTGGAGGTTTCTATGCTTCAGAACTGAAATGCCCTTGCAGATTTTTAGAGTACAGTAGACTCTCATTGAACGGACATCTTTTGAATGAAACTGCTGCTTAAATGGAGTAACTGCCTCTAATATGATTGGTTGCGTCCCTGCATACTTCTTGCCCATTCATCTCTCAGTAAAGGGAACTCCTGTTAAATGGAACATATTTTCCCGGTCCCTCCAGATGCCTTTTAATGAGTCTACTATACTCCATGTTGATTTAAATATAGCTTTCTGCATCTACGATTGAAGCCTGAATTTCATTACCAGGAGTAACTTATTCACTACTGCTGAAAGAATTCAAGCAAACCTGCTTATGAAAGGTTCATATGCTTGTTCATCCCCCTAATTCTATAACTTTATTGAGACTGCATATGTATAAATAAACAAACGAATAAGATAAATAATTATGTTCCACTGTCATTTTTGTGGCAGGCTGCATGAAGGAATTGTACGTAAATGACAAGCCAATGGACCTCATGAATGCACGCAAGCAGCAGCGCGTTTCTCCTGGTTGCACGGAGTACGATGACCCCAAGCCGTGCAAGAACCACCTCTGCAAACGTGGGAAATGCATACCAGTCGACCGATACAACTATGAATGCAGCTGCCGAAGTGGTTGGAGCGGACCGTTCTGTGATCAGGGTAAGAGCCTCATTGCTGTGTTAGGCTGGTGCATGTGATGCACGTAGCAGAGTTCCTCTGTGAGGTCATGTCGTCTGATGATACTTGGGAACATCACCTTGATAGCGGATCCGATAGTTAAACCAATAAGGCTAAATATGTTGCATGAAAAAAATAGGTAAATAGAGTTTGCCAATTTTTTCATTGCGAGCTTCGATCATTCCCTTAGCTCAGTGCCTGAGTCAAAGTTTAAAAAAGGAGACCCTTGAATTTAAAATCAGAGAGAGGCAGTTGCTCATAAATCAAAATTTGCAATTTTTTCATAAATGTACTATAAGTGTCGTAACCCTAAATTTCTGTACAAGTAGTGTAAATATACAAAAAAATAATTTGGTGGCTACAATGTGTGAACTCGTTAGTGATAGGCCTGCAAAATAGTTATGCCTGAAAGTTGCAAAACTAGCTTTTTCTATGTGTAGGTAAACACGAGATTTCCCCTAGAAGTTCATGACAATTTTCAGAAATTGATAGTCGATTCCTGTCTTATGAGACATTTTCCCATTTCACATAAAAATTTAGCCTAAAACAAAAATTAATTGGAACCCCTCTTTCTCTTTCCTTATCTGAACACACCCAGCAAAGATTTTGGGCTGAAACTTTCATCAGTGCCATAAAGCCAGCTATTTATCACACAGCAGCTGCTTTTACATAGAGTGTCAGCTCTGGCCAAATGACAAAGATAATTTTTTAAAGATACGTGTACACGCACAACTGCATAAGTGCATTGAAGCAACCTGTAGTGATAATGACATGGCTTTGTGTTCTCTAGTGTTTTCTTTAATTTCATTATGGCCAGTAAGTGCTCCGAGCCACCAACAACAAAGTGGCCCACTGGCATATGCTCTCAATTAACATAGCAACCAATACTTCTCTGCTTTTAGATCAAAGATGCTGGAAAGTATCTGAGCAGAAAAATTAATTCCTTTTGTCTTGTATTTCAATAAACTGACATATGCAATACCTTCTGTTGATGCAAATAGCCTGTGTATAGATTGCTCATTTGGCCATTGGTGAGTAGCATCTTCATGTCATCCTCCTTTTCAAAGTGCTTTTCAGAATGCAGCAGTCACTGAAGTTACCAAACATTGATTCCGAAAGACTTCAGGAAAAACCATTGTGCATTGCACATTCGCCTTAACTGTCACCTTTGAGAATGGACACGGATAGTGCATGTACAGTCAATTTTTGCAAATGTGGAGCAATTTGGCACACAGTACTGAAAATTCTGCATTTGCTAATCAAGAGTTCTCAGAAAACCACTTTATTCTGGTGCAGCACATTGCCTAGTGCATTACTGTTGTGAAGAAATTGCTATGCTGAATTTGCATTGCTACTAATAGTAGTATAACCAAAAAACTAATCTACTAGCCATCATGTCCAAGGGTGCGCATGGCACATGAATGGATGCAAAACTGCTACAAGAAAATCACGCAACATGCTAGGTTGAAGAATAGTTGGTTAAAATTGAAGGACACTTTCTAAGTTTCAAAGTGTCTTCGGTGAAAGCGTTTATAATGAAAGCCTGTGGCCATTCTGTCGACTATAGTGCTATGTCTTTTTTTGTTTCTTTTTTGTGCTTGAATGGCACTCCCAGAGAAATTGCACTCTTCTTCCAAATGTCCGTATTGCTGCATCTACCCCCTTTCTATCAATTTTGTCATGCTGGTCTGTTCTGGCGCTGGCCGTTGTGAGGCCCAGATTGTTCTGTCTCCATGCTTCTACTATAAAAGAGGGGCTCGTGCTGCTAGTATGAACCCAGCAACGACGCGGGTGGTCTTGCCGATTGGCTTGCATGACTCACGGGCACACACGCACGTGCACGCTCTGAGGTCAGGGTCACACTCGCACGCCCGGCGGCAGATCACATTATTGCCGAGAAAGTGTTAGGGGGAGATGCTACAGCTGTGGCGGCACAACAGTTGCTATGCGTCACTGTGCCATCACAGGATTGCTGAGAGAGCCTGAAGGGGAGAGGCTACAGCTGCCATTGTTCGAAAGTACAGACGGTAGGACACTGCGAGTATGAACTATTCAATGCTTTCACCTTATAATGTACAATTTTGGAAAATCTAGCAAAATGGAGCAAAGGGAAGGCATATAAAAATTGATTTTCCTGAGTGTTGTCCTATTATAACACTTTATTTCCACTTTTCGCATGATTTTTATAAACTCTATGAGCATTTGTCTACAATATGTTGTTCATTATAGAATTTTTGATTGTTTTTAGGCCCACATACTACTGAAGGAGAAAATATTATTATTGCGATAGCAATTATATGGATTTCTTTGGCAGGTTTTTGTGTTGGTTTCATTGTGCTGTTCTCTACATGTATAAGTATGTACATATATATAAAATATACAAAGAAAAGCAGTTCAGAAGAAAGTTTGTCCGAAGCACACAACCAGGGATTTGAAATTGCGATCCTTCGCTCTGCAGTTGAACAACTCTACCACATAGCATACGTTCTCCAGCACCTTAACAGCAAGCTATTTATATATGCCATTTACTGCTAGAAGTATGCAGAACTCTGAGGCGCTTCCACAAAGAAGAGGCTTGTTTATTATTACACATGAGATGACGAAAATGGTGCACCTTAAAAGTTCTCATCCTGCTCATATTTCGCTGGCGTTGGGACGCACTCCTTGCCCGGCAGGGTGCGGTTGCCTGGGCTCACGGGCTTATCTCTTTAAGAAAGAGGTTGGTACGTGTTTTCCTTTGACCGCAAATCTAGCGTTGACGCTATGACCCGCATAAAGGTCACTTCTCACACTGTAGTGGCTGTGCTTGCAAAAGGAGTCTACTACTAGTTAGAAGTGTTGAAGTATAGGCTAGTTGGTTGTGCCTAGTAGATGCTTGTGGTGCGGTTTGCAAACACAAAGAAGGACGCACGGAAAAAACACTAATACAGTGAAACCTCGTTAAACTGTAGTTGGCCGGAGCTCGGAAAAAGTACGTACTAAACGATAGTACTGCTTAACCGAAATAGCGTCAGGTCGCTCACTTACCTGTCAAAAAAAGAAACCTTCAGAAAGTGTGATGAAAGAACAAAAAACGTGCAGTAATTTATTAACTTCGGGTGACAAGTCTGTAATCTTCATTTGACGATGCGGCGGCCTAGCAGCAACGACAGTGGCCTCAAACTCACTTATGCTGTGAACCAGCTTTTCCGCCAGCCCCCTCTTCTCGGCAAATACCCGCATGACGCTGACGCAATGCGCAGCTTCGGCCACTGTCAGACCTGGATCACTCGTGTTGTCGCTTTCCATGTCGTCCTCATCACTATCATTTGGCGACACTTCGACAACCGAGGCAACAATGGCTTCGTCGGACATGTCCGGAGATGTCTGCACATTGCTGTCTGCGTCTCCGAAGTCGGGGAAGGAAATGCCTTCTGTAACGCCCTGCCGCTCCAGCACTTTAGCTAGCAGAGTTTTGCAAGCTTCGTCTACGATGTCCGAAGTCTGGTCGATGTTGTCACTGGCGTCATCTGCGTCGCCCGCACATACACTGAAGCCAGCACGCTTGAAGCAATTTGAACTATCGTTGCTTCAACCTGCCGCCACGAGTATTCGAGCAGGTGAATTGCGCCAATCAGGTCAGTGGAGAATAATTTGCCACATTCAATGGCGAGAAGAAATCTGTGCAGCAGATTCTTCTTGTAGAGCTGTTTTACAGCTCGAATGATGCCTTGGTCGAAGGGCTGGGCAATCGCTGTTGTGTTTGGTGGCAGAAACGCCAACTTCACAGCTGTTGGGTTGTCCGAGCAACTTCTCCCTGAAATTCCAAATTCCACACACCGCAGTTAACGGCAGGTCCTTTTCTCATGCCAGCGCCAATTTTTTTGTGCCACTTTCAATAGCACGAATTATGTCCAATTTCTCCTCCATTTTCAGCACTCGATGCTATTGTCCCAGCTTCGGCATGACGCAAGTACGAAGCAGCACAAGCACACATACACAACACGTGAAAAACGACGTGAGAGCTGTACGGCACGGATCAACCAGAGAACACCTATGCACGGCGCCAAAGGAACAAAGAAAGCAAAGCAAGCGCACACCGTGTTTGTGTGTTTGTGCAAAGCGCTATCGCATGGACAACACCAGAAGCCTAGCCCGCCGAGTGCTTCTTGTTGCAAAAAAATCCAAGAGATGGCGCTCACCAACACAGCCGCCATCATCATCAACAAGCGAGGCGTGTTTCGATCTCTGGTGCTTGCTGTTCTGTCGGGACGCCCAGTTGGGGACGACATGCCGCGGCGAGTGCGCAACAAAAATTGGAAAAACTACTTATTAACCGATACATACGCGATAAGCTGGTACAGCTTATGCGGATACGAAATGCATTATGTTCAATGGCCGCCGAGCCGGGGATTTGACTTCACTACTTTTAAAACGAAACTACTGTTTACGCGGGTACGGTTTAACGAGGTTTCACTGTATATGCAGGACTAGGACAAACTAACAGCTGTTATATCTTAAGTTTGTGCTTATCCTCTGTATACTTGTGTGATAGCCTGTAGCCAGGAATCTTTTGGAGGATATCCACTTGTTCAAGGCCTTCAAAAACACCTATTCTCCTTATCTGTTCTTGGTGAAACGCCCATCTAGATTTTTAGGAGAGAAGGGAGCCCTGCTGTGTGTTGTTTTTGTGCTTTGCACCTTCTTTCTATTTTAGCAGCGCTCTGCAAGTTTCTAGCTGCTAGCCTTTCTGCATTTGACATCTCATAGGCCCGTAGCCAGGAATCTTTCGGAGGGGATTCACTTGTTCAAGGCCTTCAAAAACACCTATTCTCATCATTTATTCTTGCTAAAACACCAATCCAGATTTCGAAAGGAGGGAGCAGAGAGGGACTAGTGCATCTCCCTTGGCTATGGTCCTGGTGTGTCTTCTTTTCATGCTGCGTCCTTCTTTCTATTTTAGCAGCACTCTGCAAGTTTCTAGCTGCTAGCCTTTCTGCATATGACATGTCAATTTGTCGCATTTGTTTGCTTCACCCTTGTTGCGGAACTGTGACTTCGGTACTGCTACTACCTATTGCAGCACCAACATGCCAAAAGGAGCAGTATCGGGATCACATTGAAGAAGATGGCTGCCGGTCACAAAAAAAGGTCAAGATGGCCGAGTGCATTGGCTCATGTGGTGACCACTGTTGTCGCGCTCACAAGACCAAGCGGCGTAGCGTCAAGATGGTGTGCCCATTGGGCAGAACGTACACCAAGCATGTGGAAGTGGTGCGCAAATGTGGCTGCTCGCGTAAGTGCTGAGGGCTCGACAGACACACCTGCACTGTATTGGGCTGCTGCCACCAGTCTCCACTCATTATTGTGTATGCCAAGCTGGTGCCCCATGCGAGCAGCTACACAACCGCCATTTTTGTTCCTATCAGTGTGCGCAGCACTGATTCATATGGGCTCCATGTGCTTCTGCCTGAAAAGTTTGAATTGAACAACTGTCCTTATGATCATTGTCAGACAGTCGTTCTCGCATCATTTTGAGTAGATCCTGTAGAATGGTAATCTATGTTTCTTTGCCTCAGTGCATGTCTAGACGCTCTGCCATTGTGTGAGTCTGCCACTTTGCTCCTCCAAGTAGTTCTAAGTGGATCATATCCTCTAAGAAAACAAAGTGAAAAACTTTGTGACAGCAACTTTTCCAAAGCAGCATGCTAGAATTAATGAGCCTCAGTTCAGGACAATTCATTTATCATTTAAAAAGGATTGCACACATGGTCTTTTTGTGGTCAACTAATGACATTTTTAAACCTGTACTTCAGAGCACCTTCTGTGAAATGAATGTCGATTGTGCACTGTTGTCAGTAAAAGAAGTTAAATATATAGGCTCTAGTTCACTTCTCTTTGAGTGCCTGGACTCACCTGAGGCATGTGCTCTAAGTATTGCAGGCCTTAAGATACTCACTCCAGTATTGCATTGTAAATTCTCTGAGGCCTCATTGCTGTTGTATTTTCCCAAACCATGTTTAGTATAGTGGCTATCTTAACTTTAATAACATTTCGTACACAGGAGCATGTTCAAGATGGACGAACAAGAAGTGAGAATCTATCTGTTGACATTTTTTAGAAACTTAAACAGGCTCCGTTCTCATGTTGTATTACTCATAAAAATAACGGCACAATTACGTATACTAGTAAATACCACTCACTGCTCTGGGGACCAAAGTGGCAGTCAGTGCAAAATGTCAACTGGCACAACTACTTTTCACAGTTCTTGGCAGCTTGTACAATTTTTCATTGTTGTTGTCATGCTCCTCATTGGTGTGCTTTGTTCCCTTTGTTTGTCAGATTTGGTGTTGTGATTAGCTCTATGTGTTATTTATATCTCTAAGGCTCGTGTTTGGAAAGCCAAAATTGCTCACACGGCTGATGTAGCACTAGTTAGCTGCTCTTTTTGTGGAAAGCTTTAAGCTGTCTTATCACAAAAAGTGTATAGAATCTCAAGTTACGACCATATTTGGCACAGCTTGTGCTTTGACGGGTTGAGCTTTTTGTGTACTGCAAGAATGTGTTGTCGTCCCAACTTTGTGAAACCAGGTGTTGCTCTACCAATGTTGTTACAATGAATTCATTGACTCGGCAGTGCTAATCATGAGCATTATGTGTGAATCTATGGAACCTAAGGTGCATTGTCTCTGTACGTGGTGGCCTTGAATATTAGTTGAGAAAGTTACAGTAGCTGCATTGTCGCAGTTTTTTACTTCCTGCTCGAACAGCTCACTGCCAAAGAATGAAATCGAAAGCACAAAAAATTCAGCTATCTGTAGCATAGGTTTGTTTTGTACATACAATTCACATGGCATCAAGGTGAGTGCTTCATAGCCAGAGACAAAGAAATGGGAGCACCGTTTCTATTCCGTAAATTTTAGATGGTAAAATCTGAAAGATACCAAATAGCGAAGCTAACTTGCATAGTAAGCATATAAACATGGAGAATGCCTTAAATACCTTTATTTTTAGTCAGAATATTCAAAAAACAAAAGTTTTGAGTGAACCCAATGGCATTGCACTGATGTATATTGCTGCAGTTTGAGTGCAAAATTCAGAATTCTGGGGTTTAATTTTTTCAGCTACTTATAAAACATTTATTAATATTTTCAAGGAAACTGAAACATGGTCTTTAAATAATGCTGTCTTTGTCCAAAATTCATTTTGTGTTGTTTTAAGTGCCTTAAGAGAACTCATTAAATCAGATTTCACAGAGTGATTGATTATGCATATGTCCCTATATCAAAGCTATTTAATGAAAAGGAATGCATTATTCCAGCTGAAAATTAATGCCAACCTTATTATTTGTTATGCATTAGTTAGAAATACCAGATGATTGGAAGTACGCTTTATGCTTTCCTAAAATTCAGTTCTGGGTGCTATATGAAGACCACATGAGGAGATTATTGCTGACAGTCAACAAATGAATTAAGATTGAATAATGAACTTTCTAGTGACTGCAGCAAGTGGCATATTTGTATTGAAATGTTGGATGCAGATGTGTATCGACACAGGTTTATTTGGTGGAATTTTTGTGGCATGTCCATACTCAGGGATATCCGGTTGTAAAGTTTAATTGTGGTTTAGATGATTATGCATGCAAGACAGTGAGGAATGGCAAAAGGCTCCTCCCGAATCTGCTGTAGAAGTTGTATGCAGCACTCAATCTAAAACTGGGTCTAAGGCATAGGAAAAGATGGTAAGAGTTGCCCTTTCATCGACGATATCAATGAATGCTTATTTGTCACATCAGGGAGGAACATTGTATCATCCTCACTGCTTTGTATGTGTAATCATACAAACTGCTATGAAACTTTCTACCCGGATGTCTTGGAGCATAGGCATGCTACAAGAGTTTCACCTAGTCGAACTGTGGAGAATTAAATCTGCCTCCAACTTTGACATACAAATGTCCCTGCTTACTGCGGTCACTAAAACGTTTTGTTACTTAATCCTAATTACTTTGTTAGCTGAAACTATTAGTTTTATTCTCACTTTGTCTCTCCCTGGATATATAATTTATCTGCAAAAGTGGTCCTCACTTGTTCCCCAGTGCTTAGTTTTAATAAAGCTATCAATTTTCATTTTAATCATCTTTTAATAGATCAGCATTTATGTATTGTGGCTAGCTAGGGTGGAAATTAGCTTTTCACTTATTTTCTTGAGTAGTAAATCTCTGCTATAATTGAGTGCTAATTACTAACTATTCAAAAGTGTAACGTACCCTTCTGCCTAAATTGTAATTTTTCTTTAGTGTTTAGAAACTCTCTTGTGCATAGCCTGAAGGCAACCACAATATTGCTTTACCATGTGGTTGTTAGTGCTTTTGATGAATTGCTAGTGGTACCATGTGCAACCACTCCTCAGGATTGTGCAGTTGCTTCTTTTTGTGAAAATGCCGTCCGAAGCATTACTTGATTTCATATCATTGCTCTCACAAGCTGTGACATACGTTATATACCTCTCTGTCACTGTATGCCTCTACAAGCGTTTTGTTTTAAGCCGCACATTAAACTGGTGGCATATGTAGTATTACCATCAGGAGACCATTATTTCTATCAATATGAACTACCTAATGTTACTTGCAAAGCTATTTCTCGATCAGCATAGTTATGTTTTCTAGTAATCATGCACTATTATGCCATGGTGTAGCCATGCCTCATAGTGTTATTCACATTATGTGAATGTTGCCAATCTTTTCCAACACACTAGGCTAACGCAAGTTTGATGTTGGACGGTGAATTTTACATGTTTTTCATGGCTCTCAAGCTTCTCATTCATAAACACTTTTATTTATGAAACGTTCAAGGTGCTACTGATTGTACTCAAGTTTCTAAATGCGTACTGATAACATAGTTTTATTTTGTTAAGTGCGAGATATCTGTTCCATATTATCACTGAGCTTTGCACCACTCTGAAATTTATGATATTGAATCTATTCTCAAAATGCTGCTAACATTCAACTGAATATTGGTAAATGGTAAATATTGGAATATTGGTAAATGATCAGCTTACAGTGCATCGAAAACTATCACCAACTAGCTCAGACTTTCCTGCTTGTCTGCAATTCAGTTGAAAATTTTTTAGGTTCTTGAGGGCAGCCACTACAGAGCAGATGCTCAAAAGTTGCTTGCATGTGATGGTTGTTAAATATGGAGTCTCAGTCAGTCTGTTCAGGACATGAACAGCATCAAGTGTTGAGACAGCTTCACTTGTCATGAACGTTGTAGTGTAAAATGTCATCACTTGTATGGTGCACATAATGGTGCATATGCACATTAATGGCACTGTTTCACCAGTCAGCAATTTTGACAAGTTTTAAACACTCATGGCTGCTTTTATTTAGCATAGAATTTCATATGTGGTCTTATAGCTGTATGGCACACAATGTAGTATTCATTTCTTTGTATATAAATACCACACTCAAAGATTATATATATGATATATATATTATATACATACATACATATTATGTATACACACAGCTAACTCACAGTGTCTACAAACATTACATGCACATTGTGTACACTAATCAGTTTATTCCCTTTCTTGCAAATAAACATGTATATAAAATCTTGTACAAGGGTCAATAACAATGTTTGTACTGTTGCCTTGGAGGAATGGAGACTAAGAAATTAGTATAGTTCCTAATTGTATCTCTATATATTAGCCATTCAGGACCAGAGCTTTACCAGTGGTTGACTTGATTGGCCTGTCCTGTACTTTTGTGCTTCACTTCTACACAACACGCGTCAAGGTCCTAATGCATTGACTGGCTAGTTGGTGTGTATTCATAAAAACTTTTTAGCCCAAAAACACTTAGATGAAGGAGGATGACAGATCTGTTGTCATTTTTGTGTGTGTTTTTCACGCTAGAAAATTTTTATGTACCTATACTGCTATTGATCTTTAGATATTTGTATTTCTAAGCGAGAAAATGATCGCTTAGTCTATGATTCCTTAAAAACTTAAAATGAGACACATATCTTAAGCACAAGGTAGCCCCATGTGTCACTCATCTTGCCCAACTTTGACCACTGCATCATTGGGAAACAAAAAGAAAACCTCAATGTGCTTCTGTTCATGTTTTTATCCTGTATTTTAATAATTTTTTCAAGCTCACTGAAATATTCTTTTGCAAGATTTAGGCATTTTGGGGGAGTCATAATTTGGCAGTAGCAGAACTTTGTCATGAGCTTTCCACCGGATCTTTATATTGTTATATCATAGAAAAACTCTGTGAATTATAGTAATATAGAAGTGTAAGTGGAGGCTTGAAGCGATGAGAGACCACAGCACGGAGGTCTCTGGAGCAAGCATTAGACTAGTGGACTGCAGCATAATTTAGATGCAGACAGGAGACTCGGGGAACCACATACTGGTTTTCTGTGTCACCTCTCTTTGTCCAAATTGCGCTGCAGATGTCCGAGTGCGTAGCACCTTGCTCAAGTCAAAGTGTTTTTACACTAGTGGACCTTTCTTCATCTAGGCAGCAGCTGTTGGGTAGTTGATGCCTTGAAGAAGACAGGTCTACTTGTTGAAACATTGGCTTCAGGGACATTACGTGTTTAATCATTTTTCACCACTTCTGTGAATCATTGCCTTGCAACCAATTTCTCCCACAGTGACCACTCAGTTGTAAAAGCTGTCACCATTTGCGTGCTTGATATCTTAAATGTGTATTCTTATCAGCCACCTTGTATGAAGTCCACATTCTGTAATATGATAAAACTTGCAGTAGAATCTAAATTTTGTAATCTCCTCTGCAGCTGTACACAATTCATTTAAACCTGGTGCAAGCAACGCAGTGAAACCAAGTTTTATACATGGATTATACATGGAAAATAATTGATGCCAGAAGGAAGCATGGCTTTCTATGACATCATCTTCTTTTGGGACTGTGTCTTTACAGTATGCAATGGCTGTGCACAGTAATTAAATTGGTGTGAATTCATGTATTAGCTTAACTGTCATGTGCTCGAAATGTCAAAAGTTTTAGACAATAGTACAAATTTTAATACTGACCCTTTAGTTCTTAGCATAGCATGTGGATTGGAGGTCCAAGATGTAGATAAAGCATTTACATCATGGGTGATATACTGAAATTGAGCTCCTGGTTTTGTACAGTGACTGTTTCTTTGTTTGCAGAGCTTGTTCCCTTACTGACTCATTGGCAGTCAGAGTTTTTTTTTTTTTTTTTGAGGAAGTAAAACATGAAATTATACAACTGATTTCTTTTGTTTGTATTGTCTTTTTTTACACTTTGTAAGGAAAAAATTCGAGGCCAGTTACTCACTTCAGTTCATTAGTCAAATCTGAATAAGAGCTATCCTATTTGCAGATTAAGAGCTGCCCTGTTTGCAAATTTTCTTTAGTAACTCTATTTACCTTTCAACCTAAAAGGCAGCTACAGTAAAAGGTTGGTAATTTAAACAGTTAATTCGAACTTACATTTAATTCAAACTGATGCCCTGGTTCCAGTGCAGGCCCATATATTAATGCGATAGTGTTAAAGAGCTCAAATTCTGGCATCGGCGTCGTTGATTGTGAGCGAAAAATCATCTTTGCGGGACTGAAAAAATCTAGGTCTCAGTAGGAATCGAACCCGGGTCATTCGCGTGGCAAGCAGGTGTTCTACACAGGCACGCCTCTGCTTATGAACACACAGTGAAAATAACTTTCTCTGCTTGGAAATGCAGTGAAAGTAACTTACAAACACATGCGTTCAGTATAGTACATGCTTCACAATACAATGTGAAATATTGCCTTTAATAATGCATGGTACAAGCGTGCATTGTCATCGGGCATCAGAATACATGATTATTATAGGACTTCATAGTTTAAAGCCGTTAACCCACTACAAAAGGCACACATGCTACTGCACCCTTAAGGTGACGTAGTGGTTGCATAGCAAGTTCGAAAGGATCTTGTACATTAAGTGTTTGAAGTACGCACTAGGAACTAGGAACAGAATATCACTATACCATTCAACTCGTAAAGGCGAATCTTAAGGGTGCCCCAATTTTTTAATGGAGGGAAACTCCCAATAAGTTGAATGTGTTGGTATCACGGTAAGTCGAATTGTGAGCCCCTGATTTTGATTGCTCTTTGCAGAAGTGGGCTCCGAGTGATCACAATGTGTCGCAAAACCAAATCAAGCCTGATTTATGAAAGATGTAAAACAGCAAAACAGCAGGATGATATCTTAGCGGGTAGGAATTTGGACACCGGGCCGGACCTCTTAGCCACGCTGAAAACCATACTCAATGAAGTCGCTACAGAAGAAACACGAGCAGGTGCAAATCACTGATTGGTTTTTAATTTTGCTTGCATTACCTCTGCCATGTAAATAATAAACATATTCTGCATCATAAATAGTGTCATGTAGTATTTCAACATTAAGGCTCGGAGGTTACACGAGAACATGTATAGGTGCTTCATTCTGGCGTATTACTGACCAGGACCTAACTAGAAAGGAGTGGGTTTTGACACCTGAGGTTTTTTCGTGCTTTCACTTTTCAGATGATTCTGAAGTATTTACACGCCTACGCATTGGCCACCATGTTGTCATATTCAATCGTTCTACACATAAACATCCCCCGAAAAAAGTTCCTGGGTGTGGCCCTGCTGACTGATCAATTAGTTTCTGTTCACTGTTAGGGCTCCATGAGCCTAATTTATGGAATCACCTGCCACAAACATGTAGTACAGCTGAATTCACCATAAGTCAGGTGAGACTTAATAGTAGCATAGCACACGCACACACAAAAAAAAACATGGACACATTAGAGCCTCAACGTGGCTAAAATCACGCCGGTGCAGTTTGAGCAAGCCCTGGCGATGGCCGCCGCCCTGGCTCCTCAAGACCTCATGGAAGACTCTATATGCCCAAATGTCACCCAGAACATTTTTGTAGTGTGTACCCCAATCGAACGAAACGCACGAGCTTATACCATGGTACAGCAACTACGTCTGCGAGACACTCTGTACCGAGTTGCTGTATATCCGGCTCCACCCGATAACACGTGCAAAGGCGTCATCCGAGGCATTGACATTGACCTCACCGATACCCAGCTCCGAGAACTGATCGTCACAAAGCGCAACCCGAGTGCCCTGGAGGTGAAACGCATCAAGAACACCACAGCCGTCACCATCCTGTTCCAAGGAATGCAAGTTCCCAATTATGTATACTGCGGGGCGAGCATAGTTCGATGCACGCTTTTCCGCAGACACACGGAAGTTTGTTACAACTGCGGCAGCCTCGGCCATCGTGCAGACGTTTGCCCTAATCCTAACACAACGTGGTGCCGAAAGTGCGGACTCAAAACCCCACCCGAAAACCACCAATGTAAGCCCCACTGCACCCTCTGCGGTGGACCACACCCCACTGCCGATAAGGACTGCAAACGTAAATTTCAAGTTCCGTACATCGTACGCCAACGACGACGCCGACGCCGTCGACGCGGTCGTAGCCGCTCCCGAGGATCGAGTGGAGCCAGCTCCCGCGATTCCAGCGCCACCTCGAGCACCTATGCGACATCCAGGCGAAGCCGCTCCCTCACACCGACAGCGAGACGTCGCAGTGCCCAGCGCAGCCACTCCCGCTCCAGGAGACACTCCCCATCTCGCCAGGCTGAGCTGACATGGGCGGACCGAGTCCAAGGGAAGAAACCACCGCTACGGAGCACGCCGCCAGTCACAAAGGTAACGCGGCCCTCATTGCCAGAGCATGAAAGCGAGGTAGTTACAACTCTACGAGCAGAACTAGCAGGTCTTCGGGCAACCATACAACAGCTCACCACACAACTAAATGAGGCGAGGCACCAAATACAAACTCTCACAGCTCCTAAAGATCCCCCCTCATCCACTGTAGATGTTAGCAAACCTAAACGCAGAGCCCCACCACTCCGCGAAGCGGACACGAATGACAGCGACTCACCAGAAGACACTCTAAACGAAATCTTACGTCTCACGCGAGAAAACCACGATAACATCGACACGCTGTCACGCCGGGTAGAAGCACTAGAGCAAAAGGCCACCATAAAAGCTAAAACCAAAGCCAGAACAGTAGTTTCTGTGGATCCTACGGCAAATCTGCCTGGGCCACCAAATTCAATGTAATCATCATGGCTTCCACAACCCAAAACACGTTAGAAATTTGGCAGTGGAATTGCGCTAGCTTCGCGACCCGTAAAACCCCACTGCTGCAGTACATTAAAGCGCAACCCAAGAAGCCTCACATAATATTACTGCAGGAGACCCTTTGTGATACTCTCACATTATCGGGTTACCACCCCATCACACAACGAGGGGATACCAAGAGAGGTATAGCCACGCTGATTAGCAAGAAATTTGCTCACATAGTACATGAGGTTTTACCCACCCGCAGCCGCCTGGAAGCGATACTCGTCGAACTCGTACCAAACCGTTTTTTAAAACAAAGCGTTTTTATCCTTAACGTTTACAGCTCCCCGTCAGACTACAGACAGTCCTTCCATGCGCTCTTAACTAAAGCCACAACGCTCGCGCGAAACTCTCCGCTTGTTATAGCAGGCGACTTCAATGCCCCCCACCCGTCATGGGGTTACCCCCAGGCAACGGCTAAAGGCACTAACCTCACGCGAGCAATTGATGACTTGTCCCTCACACTCATCACAGATCACCGATTCCCTACGAGACTTGGAACATCGGTACAACGCGACACTACGCCGGACTTGGTATTTACCCGTAACGTCACAGGCCACACCTGGACCAATACGCAGGAAAACCTGGGCAGCGATCACTTCATCATACGAACCGAACTACCCAACGCATCAGCCCCACCCCGTACATTCACGCTAACGGACTGGGATGCCTTCCGCACCCTCCGCAAAAACAACACAAAGGAATACAACACATTCATCGAACTACTCACCTCACTTCAGGAAGACATAGCCAAAACAACGAAAACAATACAAACAGAACTCGAGGTCCCGAGAATGGACCCACATCTGGCACATTTGCTCGAGGCAAAAGCGTCAATACTCGCGCGCTGGAAAACACAACGACTAAACAGACGCTTACGAAAACGTCTATCAATACTGAACCAAGACATTGCCAAATATTGCACGGAGCTCACACGACTCCAATGGCATGAACTCTGCTCGGCGGTCGACGGCCGCATGCGAACTGGGGGTAAATGGAACCTCCTAAAATACATGCTGGACGACTGCGAAACAAAAAACAACCAGAGTCATGCCATAGACCGGCTCCTACACTCGCACAAAAAGATGGGAGGAACAAACTCATCCTTTCTTGAAGAAATCTCCAAACGTCATCTCCCCTTAAACACAGCACAACCCACCGACTACCCAGAAATAGAATGCGAAACGATACCCGAACTCGACGAACCCTTCACGGAGTCAGAAATTCGGGAGGCATTACACAACCTCAACAGCAGATCAGCCCCCGGTCCTGACAAGGTAACCAACCGCCTGTTGCGAAATTTAGACGACCAAGCCATCACACTACTCACAAAAGACATTAATTACATGTGGGAAACTGGCCAGGTACCTGAACAATGGCGCACGGCCACGGTAATCCTTCTCTCAAAGCCAGGTAAACCACTCAACTTCGACAATCTACGCCCGATTTCCCTAACCTCATGCATAGGAAAAGCAGCTGAACATGTCATCCTAAATCGTGTATCGCGCTACATAGAGGATCACGAACTCTTTCCGTTCAACATGGTCGGGTTCCGTCCGCACCTTTCAACACAAGACGTCATGCTATTACTAAAGAAACAGATCTTCGACTCAAAAACGAGAGATGTTCGTGGCATTCTCGCCCTAGACCTCACTAAAGCATTCGACAGCGTCTCACACCGCTTTATACTGGAATCCATTGCCAGCCTTGGTCTCGGTAAAAGATTCCAGGCGTACATTCGTTCTTTTCTGCAAAATCGAAAAGCTCAGCTGCATTTATCGCAACTTACATCCGACACTTACACATTAGGTTCCAACGGGACACCACAAGGGGCAGTCATTTCTCCACTCCTTTTTAACATAGTAATGAAGGGACTATCTGACAAACTCCGCGAGATCCTAAACATAAACCATGCTATATACGCAGATGACATCACCATCTGGTGCCCGGGAGGCTCATTGGCGGAGTTGGAGCAAGCCCTTCAAACTGCTCTCAATACCACAGAAGCCTACTTAAAAAACACTGGACTTCGTTTGTCGCCCACAAA